ATATAAACCTTGCACATCCAGCCGCACTCGGCTTACGAGACACAATGACATACGCTATTAAACTATGTAAAATGTTTATCCAAAAACGAGCATATAGGAATATTTTTTCTTCTCTTAAACATATTGCAAATCCTATTGTATAGAGAAGTTTGCAATTAATCTTCATTCATAATATCTAAACTACTCAAGTTAAAAAAACAACATGTTAATCGCTAAAGCTTCGAAATACTTTTTAAAGATGACACAGTAGATCATCAAACAATGTACAATCAATTAAAAGTGACGCACTGTATTTCTCCCTGCAGTGAACAACGCACCGAGTCACCTTAAATAATTCACGTAGCTGGTCAGGGCACTGACAGCCCTTGGCGAGAACATTCGTCCCACGTCATGACATCAAAAGAGTTAACTGCGCTTCTGACTGTAATTAACCATGTATTTACTTAATATTGGCAGGAAGTTTTTGAGACGAGCGGATAAAATCCCATATGAACTTTGAAACCTTCAAGAAACGAACCAGCTGATAAATTCTCAAAAAACATTCCTCTGGTCAGGTGGAAGGATACGTGCTTAAGATCTGTCTCCGAGCTTGTTGCTAACTGGCTGTGCACGAGTGGCGGGAGGTGCACTAGCAGGTGCACATGCAGGTGCCCGCGGGGGCAGGTGGTGTGTGTGGACGTCCATGACAGCAGCTTCCTTACACTGTCATGTGTGTTTGTAAAAATGTAAATACGTTAATAATATCAATACACGGGGTCTCAAACATATCTGTTGTTAAGATAATAAATACTTGTCAATTTGAATCCGACACTGTAAAAGTAACGTGTCTCAGCCGTGTCAGATCCGCCGGTTACGAGTTCTGATCCCCGATTCGCCCCAATTTTCACTTTGGCCTGTCGACACTCAAGTCACTAGAGTCTACGAACTGTGTCCCTTTTCAACACATATACACCCGTGAAGATCCGGGGTAGAATAGTTCTTCAGCAACCCATGCTTGTCGTAAAAGGCGACTATGCTTGTCGTCATCGGGGTCAGATCCCACCTCCGCACTACCGGTAGTAGGGCAAGGGGCGTCTCAGGTATCCCACATGCCCCCCTAGGAGGATTCTGGACTGACTAAGTCAAACCCGAGTATCACATGCTTGTCCTCAGTACCGGCTTGGGGCTCGTGAACATCCGGGTTAGAATAGGTCTTCAGCAACCCATGCTTGCCGTAAAAGGCGACTATAGCTTGAATAGTGCTGACTGCGGCGTTAATCAACAAACAAACCAAACCAAATGTTATATACGCTAACATCTGGGTCATACGTGGAACAACGAAAGGTTCTCGGAATCAAACAGAAGATCGTTCGGAATCAAAATTGTTCACACAGTTTGTTTCAATAAATCCTCTTTTAATTTAATTACGATGGGTCCAGCGATGCTATAGTTTAGTTACCCTAGCTCTAAACAAGTCTTCATCCTGGCGCTCCACAAAGGCATCGACGACAGCATTTACCTCGTCGTTGCCGATACACCTCGTGAAACAGTAGCACCTCTGAGTGGATCTTTCCTCGATGTGTCTCCTTGGTACCTTGGTCTCAGAGGATGAGGGGCGGTCGGGTAGCCTAGTGGTTAAAGCGTTCGCTCGTCACGCCAAAGACCCGGGTTCGATTCCCGACATGGGTACAATGTGTGAAGCCCATTTCTGGTGTCCCACGCCGTGATATTGCTTGGATATTGCTAAAAGCGGCGTAAAACCATATTCACTCACCCACTCAGAGGATGAAGTTCCGTGGCATGGCATTTCCCACTGACAGTCACACCTCGTTGCAGATAGTATTTGTGCTCTAACTATCTCAGAAAACACTTATTTTTCTCAGAAACAAAGAAACCGTGACTTTGCCTACTGAAGCCACCCGCTGATACTTCTATGGTGGAGTGAGTTGGTTTAACGCCGCTTTTAATAATTATTCCAGTTTTATTACTAGCCCGTGAAGAGATCATCCGTTTAATAAACATACAGAAGTATTACACATTGTGTAATACCAAAACGCGTGCTTATGTACCCTCGGAACACGTTTCACGAACAAATATTGAAAGCTCTCAACATCCCTTGGCTTATTCAACGACATTGCGTGTGGAAATGATAGATCACTGAAAGGAGCTTATACACACTCGATGACCCCCGCAACCTTGTTGCTAGGCTGACGTCACATGGAATTGTTTCGCCGATGGATCTTGCAACAAAATTCCACAAATTACGTCATCGGGTATTGTGACGTGATTGTAAACGACATTCGTTAGGTAAAGTATGTGACTTGCGATAAACATTGCGCTACGATAATTTTGTGGAACGGACGCCTGAATTCTAAAGGTGGACCGTTGTATGGTATTAAATTCATACGTTTCATCATTTGACGTGTTTGAAGTATTACTCAATTGGATTATGAAACTCGTGAATAGTTGTGGCATCTGACGAGCGAAAGCTCGTTTCATAAAACGGGATTCATATTACACGGGAGCTCATTTAGTATTCTATATATATCACGGTGTGTCAGCTTAATGTGGGAGGAAAGCCAGAAGTGATGCAGGTCTCAGACGTTTACCACTTCGGTGAAACCCACGAGCACGGGTATGGTGCTGACAAACCTAGAAACATAATCGGGGGGAACCGGGATTCGAACCCACAATCATAGGTTTCTGGCGAGCCCAAGGGACGCAACTCTGCACAGCGAATTGCGGCGCCTAAGACTACTGGGCCACCCGTGCTCCCTTCTATGGTGGAGACGAAACTGAAGCTTCGACTGCAGACCAAGGTGATGGACCATTTCTCATCCTGACTTACAGGGTTCTGCTGCTGTATGAGGGTGTCTACCCCGACGGCGTGAGACGAAGCTCATAACATCAATCACTAGTTCGTCTGGTCCAGACTCAATAATTTACAGGCCGCCGCCAAATAGATGGATATTGGGCGCAGCGTTAAACAAAAAACAAACATACACTCAAACTTGGAAAGGTATTATACTAAGTACACAGTAGTTCGTGTAGACATTTACCGCTTCTGTGAAACCATCGAGCACCTGTATGGAACCATCTTCCTGAGGCAAGGGCGTTAACTGACTGTAAAAATGCAGTTCTCACACTTGCCGAACTAGGCTGGTATTATGGAGTTACATTTTGGTTGGACTAACGAGACTTTGCATAGTCCAATCAAAATCGCGCAACAAAATCGAAATCCGGCTCGTGAACTGTCGATTACAGGATTTGTAAAGCATGTGCACCGCCAACTAGTTGTCAACGGATATTTTCCAAAAACTTTCATGTGTTTAATCAAGGTGCTCACGTGATTTGATGCACTTCGCGATGAAAGACCCGTATTATCACAATATAGATACTGATTTCGATTAGATCGTTTTGACTGGGCGCCGCCATTTTGTTTGAAGCAAATGCAAATGATACAAAAGGTGGCATCTGATTGGTCCATAGGAGAGGCATAGAAGGGAAATAACTCGTAATAGCCTCTGAGGGCGCTACCATCGAATTCCAGCCTAGTTCGGCAAGGGTGGAAAGTGGACTGTTACAGTCAGTTAACTCCCCAGCTAACAAATAACATTTTCAAAACATTAAACGCTCTTGCCTCGGGAAGATGGTATGGTACCAACCAAAAGGCATTTACTGTTAGCGATGCCACCATGCCTCATAAGGGCATAAGTGGATATAACATGTTTACGCACCATAGGTTTCCGAATCCTATCCTTAACAAGTCACCAATCATGTATTCGTCGTATAATTCATTTTTCTTCAAAAGCGATATGATTATTTAACGATGTTGGGCGTGTGTTTTGGTTGACGTACATGTACTAAGAATGTTTTATATAGATGTATAGTTCCCATACTACTAAGTATACAGCTTCGTGGGGCCTCCGAGGTGCCGGTGGAAGAGATTTCACGAACGAAATTTATTTCTCTTTTCAACTTGATGCAATGTACGAATCACTGATGACAAAATTATCCTGAGCGTACATAAAATATTCACAATTTTTATTTCACACAACAGATGTTTCTTCCTCCACTCAAAACCTCCCCTGGTCGGGGTTAAACATCTGAATTTAATGAGATCGTTCGTCCGCAAAAAGTGCCAATGGGGTTTTCCGTTCATGACTCCATGAACACCAAAACTGATTAAAATCACTTCTTAATACTACTACTACTAATTTTACACACTGCTTATTTAATCACCAACACACAAAATACTAGTGACAACAATACGAAATCAGTCCCATCAATCAGCGCAATAACGCAGCATAAACCTCTCCCATTCTATTGTCAGCCAATCTGGAAACAGTTGTACGTTAGAGGGCGTGGCCTATTTATTTTTTCGGTTTATGGAAATTAAACGCCCAAATAATTCTTGGTTAGCCAATCAAATATATTGGCACCACTTGTAAGGTACGTATTTGATGATACATTAACGTAGTAAATACGTAACTGTAAATCCGTTTCGATATTGACAGAACATAACACACAACATCAACACAAACGTTGGCAATTATTTGGTGAATATGCGTGAGGATCAAAGATGGTAAAGATGGTAAATCACTGAAAGCCGTTTACCAGCCAGATAAAGCTTGTGTTCGCAACAATGGTAGTAACCTTACAGATATGCTTGATTCCCCCTTGGGAGTGCGTCAGGGTTGTGTATGAAGCCCAATCTTGTTCTCATTTTTTTCATAAATGACTTAAAGTCTTGTTTGATTGGCATTTTAAGAAATTGGTAGTAAAGAGTAAAGATAAGATATTTTTACGGATAAAAACTTCTTAATTGTATTATGTTTCGGTATAGATCTTTATAACGTAGTCAAGCAAGAGTGGAGTAAGCATGGTAAGATCTTTACTTACTTACTTACTTAAGTTGGGGATTTTACGTGCGCTTTCCGACTGTATGCGTAAGTAAGACAGCACAGTACAGTGTTATATACATCCAATACGGATTAACAAAAACAACATGACAGTAAACATAAAAGGGATGAACAACACCAAAGGATAATGGTTGGTTTATATAGTAACAACAGAAAGCAGTTAATGGCTGAATGTTAATAGAAAGAAGGCATCTGTACATGGTACAAATATACAATGCTTAACGGTATGAGGAGCTATAGAGAAACGTCGCATAAGAATACAATAGAAAAGGTTCTCCCCATAAAATATCTTGTCCTTACTGGAACTGATAATTAAGTCTTGTTCTTGAACTTAACTCAAAATCTGAAAATGCCATACAGTTATATCCAGATCAAAAAGAAAATTCATTATTCCTTTTACTTTTTGCTGACGATGTTGTCCTTTTCTCTGATTCGGTAATTGGTCTCAAACATCATATCAACATTTTGGAGATTATTGTGACAAGTGGTCACTGTCCGTCAGTCGAAATACAAGTAAAGTTCTCGTTTTAAAAACGGTGGGAAATTACTGTAATTAGAGAGAGGGATGCACAAAGATGCATATATAGAGGTAGTTTAATCTTCGGGTTACCCTGAAATACTGTTTACTAGGACTTTGTTTCCAGTTAGGTAATGCCAACAATATATTCTCGAAGAATATCGAGCATTTGTTGCAATCAAAATGATTTTCAAAACTCAATCCAGAGCAAGAGGTTATAATGATGTGTATATCTATAAAGGCTTATTTCACCTTAATGTTGTAGAAAATGAGTTTCTTTTTATCTTTGTTTAGAAACTCTATTCTGAATTAAGAAACAAATATATTCCAAAGATGTTGAAAACGTACCCAAATATCAATTTGTTTTGCATACTCATGTCAACCTCAAATATTACAGTATCACAAAATATTGCATTGTACACACGTTATGCATTGTAAGTTATAGGAACATGCATACCCTGTGAGTTTTGTTGAACTAGGGCCTATGGCCTCTCAGTGTTCACTGAATAAACAATTTGACATAGATCCGGAATAGACATAGAGTTTGGATAAGACAGATTTCATTTTATGATACATTAACGTTATTTATTCGGGACTGTATGTTTGTTCGGTACTGACATAGATCCGGAATAGTCTGGATTAAATAAGTTTCTATTTATGATAAATGAACACAATCTTTTCGGGGTCCGTACATTGTTTTGGTAGTGACATATTGTTGAGATCACGTCAGTCAGGGGCTGGTGTAGGGGCTGGTGTGGGGGCTGGTGTAGGGGCTGGTGTGGGGGCTGGTGTAGGGGCTGGTGTGGGGGCTGGTGTAGGGGCTGGTCAGAGTTTTCTCAGTCTCTGGGTCTCCGTGGCGCCATCCTTGGTCTGAGTCTGGGAACAGAAACAAGCACAGAGTTAAGATTTTGACAGGCATTTGGAAGGTTTTTTTACAATTTCTTTTATTCTTTGTAAGACGTTACAGAGCTACTTCTTGCTCCTTCATCGGGTGAATGCCCAGTAAGTAAATATATACATTCACCCCACAATGCGTTCATGATATATGGTGGGATGAATGTAGAAGACAACAACATAATGACAAAGCCAATGACATAGAATTAATGTAGAAAGTTAACATAATAATGTTATACTCACTCACCCATTTACCCTCTCACTAATTTACACCCTCACTCCTCTCCTCACTCACTCCTCTACTCACTCGTCTGCTCACTCACTCCTCTCCTCACTCACTCCTCTACTCACTCACTCCTCTACTCACTCACTCCTCTCCTCACTCACTCCTCTACTCACTCACTCCTCTCCTCACTCCTCTCCTCACTCACTCACTCCTCTCCTCACTCACTCCTCTCCTCACTCACTCCTCTACTCACTCACTCCTCTGCTCACTCACTCCTCTACTCACTCACTCCTCTACTCACTCACTCCTCTACTCACTCCTCTCCTCACTCACTCACTCCTCTCCTCACTCACTCCTCTCCTCACTCACTCCTCTCCTCACTCACTCCTCTACTCACTCAGTCCTCTACTCACTCACTGCTCTACTCACTCACTCCTCTACTCACTCACTCCTCTACTCACTCCTCTCCTCTCCTCACTCACTCACTCCTCTACTCACTCACTCCTCTCCTCTCCTCACTCACTCCTCTACTCACTCACTCCTCTACTCACTCACTCCTCTACTCACTCCTCTCCTCACTCACTCCTCTCCTCACTCACTCCTCTCCTCTACTCACTCACTCCTCTCCTCACTCACTCCTCTCCTCACTCACTCCTCTCCTCACTCCTCTCCTCACTCACTCACTCCTCTCCTCACTCACTCCTCTCCTCACTCACTCCTCTACTCACTCACTCCTCTGCTCACTCACTCCTCTCCTCACTCACTCCTCTACTCACTCACTCCTCTGCTCACTCACTCCTCTCCTCACTCACTCCTCTACTCACTTACTCGTCTGCTCACTCCTCTCCTCACTCACTCCTCTCCTCACTCACTCCTCTACTCACTCACTCACCGCAATGACGAAGTCCCCATCCCGATACGTGTCGACATCCAACTGCATGATCACTCCATCCTTGTCCGATGTCAGCTTTTCAATGAAGTGGTCGTTCCGTAACTCGATGACACTCTGGAAATATTGCCGTAGATTTGAAACAACATAAATACATATGCACGTGACCAGGCTGTACTGAGTTGTATTGTTAGCAACATGCTTCAATTTTCCACTCTGAAACTACGAGACGAACAATGGTTTGAAGACGACACACACACACACATACGCACACACACGCACACATACACACACGCACACTAACACACACACACGCACGCACACACACACGTACACACACACACACACGCACACAAATTCACTCAAACACCTCACTCACACCTCACACACACACTCAAACACATACCCACACATTCACTCACACACACACACACACACAAACACACACATACCCACATCTCACTTACTCACCCCACTCACTCACACACGCACATACCCACACTCAAACACCTCACTCACTCACTCAAACACATCACACACCTCACTCACACACTCACACACATACCCACACCTCATGCACACACACACACACACACACGCACACACACACTCACACCTCACTCACTCTCACATACACTCACACGGACATACCCACACACTCACATACACCCGTAAACACATTTACACACACACACACACACACTCTCTCTCTCTCACACACACACACACACTCACACACACACACACACACACACACACACACACACACACACACACACACACACACACACACACACACACACACTCTGCAGTCTCCAGTCTCTGTGCACTGTATACTAGTATTCATAATCCTGTTGATAAATGATATGTTTCGTTATTACATGACTGAACCGAGACAGCTACCGCGTTTACTGCAAATAATATATAAACAGTGAGCCCAAGAGGATGTGGGTGTTGGTGACATATGTGTTTCTGTCAGCACTGTCACCTGTATTGGATCATCAGGAAGGGGCGGTGGGGTAGCCTAGTGGTTAATGCGTTCGCTGGTCACTCCAAAGGTTCGATTGCCAACATGGGTGCAATGTGTGAAGTTCATCTCTGGTGTCCCAAGCCGTGATATTGCTGGAATATTGCTAAAACCTCACTCACCGTCATTTTAGTGACCTTGTCGAAACTCAAAAAGTGGAAGGGAACGCCCATCTTGAACTTGACGTCCATAAACACGCTTCCATCTTCAAGGTCAACCTTCATATGCCACTCCTCGCCGTCACGTGACAGATGTAAGGTGTAGACGAGGAAGCGAGTTGCCTCGCGCTCCTTGTCTGTCATTCCTGGAACGATAAACGGAGCATTGTGTATTTGCTTCCAAAATTCAAGTTTCATTGGTTACATATTTCTGTGCAACGCGGACATCACTGATATCATCAAAAGTAGAGATTTGGGAGCATTCACGAATTTACGAGTTTACAATGAAGGTCAAACCATGGTTAACTGACATACGTGTTTTGCGTATATGAGAGATTGTTGATGACAGTGCAGACGCCCCCCCCCCCCCCCCCCCCTCCCCTTTACGAAATGCCACGCCTGTCCGAAAATGAGCGTCTGCGAGCCATTGGTATGCTTGAAGCAGGATCGAGTCAATGTGATGTTGCAAGACAATTTAACGTCCACAGAAACACCATTTGGTGTTTATGGCAACGTTGGTAACAGATGGATGCAGTCAGAGGCCACGCGTAACCAATAATCGACAAGACAACTGGATTCGAACAACACACCTACGAAATCGATTCCAGCCAGCAACAGTGACTGGAAGAAGCACCCCCGGCCTTCAACGAATATCTTCTTAAACCGTAAGTCGCCGCCTCAGATGTGCAGGGATTGTCGCCAGAAGACCCGCCAGGCGTCCCATTTTGACAGGAAACCACCGTCAAGCACGCCTACAGTGGTGCAGACACGCAGTGGGGACAAGTTCTATTCACTGACGAGTCTCGTTTTCACCTCAGCAACAGCGATGGACGGATTCGGGTGTACCGACGTCGAGGTGAACGTTACGTCAATCATTGTGTCATGGAAGAAGATCGGTACGGGGGCGGCAGCGTTATGGTATGGGGTGGGATTACAGCAAGACAGAGGACCCGTTTGATAGTGGTAGAGTGAAATCTCAATGGACAGCGCTACCGTGACGAGATCATCGGCCCTGTTGTTCTACCGTTTTTGCGTCGTCATGGCCCATTACCTTTCAACATGACAACGCCCGGCCTCATATTGCTCGACTTGTTTAGGATTCTCTTCAACAAAACAACGTGAATGTCATCCCCTGGCCGGCTCGCTCCCCTGATCTCTCACCAATCCAGCACATGTGGGATGAGATGGATCGGCGCCTTCGACGTCAACCACGTGTTCCACAGACACTCCAGGAACTTCTTCGAAACATGCTCCGGTAGATATGGACAGATATCCCACAGGACTTTGTGCGACGCCTGGTCCATTCCATGAGACGAAGATGTGTTGCTTGCATCGCAACCGGAGGTGGACACACACACTATTGATTTGTGAATTGACATTTTGGCATGTTCATGGTTGTTTTTATGAAATCACGCATTTTCTGAAGTCAGTATGGCAAATTAAACCATTTGAACACTTACAGGAGTCTTTTATCTGTTTCAAACCGAAATTGTTTCAGATTTGGTAAAAAACATAACTTTGCATTAAATCTTATTCAGTTTCACAGGAACTTTTGTTGTTCAGTATATATATACATGTATATCAATTCCCTACATAAGAAAGGAAATATAACTTGACTTGCCTTGACTTCTGTATGCTATTTCAATCTATGGCATTGATTTGTACGTATATGTTTATATTGTAAATAATATCTTGCTGTATGTTTACATGGTCACTGATCACATCTGTGATAACATGAACTACGGGGGGTACTATGACTATGCGGCCTCTCGTCACTGAATAAGCTTCTTCAACGCGTATAACACCTATGTAGGTCATCTAGCTATGTCAATATATACACTGGTAGGGTCAACACGACCGAGGGCGATATCACAGGTCGTACAGGCGTCGCTCATTAGGACGATTTCACAACAGTGAGACATAGCGCTGTCGTCTGTTTATTGAGATTACTTTTTTTCCGGAACGATACTCATGTGAAAAAAAGTAATAAAATTCGAGTACTTCACATAACAGTACAAGTGGTAATAAATATCATAAATATAATTATTTGTGGGACGATGGATCGATTGTGTCGAGAGTTCAGCATCAGTTTAATCAGGAATTCGTAGCTGTTTTAAAAAAATATTTTTCTTTTGTAACTATACAGGTGTTTATTCTGTGGTTTTACCAGCATCATTACAGTGGATTGACTAAAAGTCGGGCCGGGCAGGACCAGCGGGTAATACTAGAAACGGATTGCTGAATATTAAAACGAAATATGCGTAACTATGCGAATATATATTAGTGAGTTAGTAAGTATTGTTTTTTGTCGCTTTTAGCAATATTCCATCAATATCACGGCGGGTGATATCAGATATGGGCTTCACACATTGTACCCACGTGGAGAATCGAACACGGGTCTTCGGCGTGACGAGCGAACACTTTAAACACTAGGTTACCGACGGATTTGTGTATGTATTATTAGTGAATATGTCACACTTACCCAACGCCGCAGCAAACTCATCATGGCCTGTGGTAAGTTCGGGCACCAGTTTCCAGTCTCCGATCATGTTCGCCATCGCGAGGTGTTCTCGTGTGATATCAGTGATACAGTGATGCCGGAGGGTGTAGCGGTCGTGGGGCGAGCAATCAGGGTTAGACTGGTTACCGTTCAATGGAGACTGTGAAGTGAGAGCAGCGACACCAAGCGGAGGATTCACGGAACCAGTCTAAAGCCGTCCTGCTTGGTGGTAAGGTGGGATATATTGAGGGCGGTAATAAGGGCTTACACTGGTCCACAGTTAGCCCCATTCATATATTATTTCACAAGATCCTCACAGCGATAGCCTCTCGGGTGAGCAAAGCGCTCCTAACAGAACTCGTAACCGTCTACCAGCTGTAGAGGTCCTAGGTTGACCGCGTTGTCAGGTGCTGGGACGGAGCTTGGTTATCGTACAAACTCCTCACCGCCACAGGCCGCGTTTGGAGCTCTCTATACATATATGTCACCGGGATCGCAGCCGAAGTCGATTATCTGTTTTTAAAGTCAAGGAAACCTCACATTAGGACTCGTAAGTGTCTTTTTTTATCCTTCTCATGCGCATTTTAATACGTAAGTATTATGAAAATATGTGGTGGGACTGTGTGGTCAACCCTATTTACGGGTTACACACGTAGATTCGAAATGAATGGATCTTGGGTCGGTCTGTTCCTCCGCCCAGTCACTGTTGTTTGTTGCAGGAGAAGGCGTGACGCGTGGAGCATGTGGGTCGTGACGCCGTTTCGCGTACCTCTTTCCTAGTACGTGACACGTGCCAATACTGTATCCTCGCCCCCGTAAATGTCACATCTTGGGGTGAGGTGAAATGTCGCGTCCAAGATTATTGCGACGTGCGGGCACGTGTGTCTACATCTTGATCTTTTGTGATGCTTTAGATTGTGGACTATACAACGTTGGTTCGTGTCGTGTAACAAATATAAATATCTATTATTTCACGTACCGTATTTCCTCTATTTGACACCGGTCTCCAATATACGTCGACGTCTAATTGACGCCGGGTGCTGGTTCATCATTAAGATATATGTACCCTTTTTATGTCAATAATCTTTATCTTTCATAAATTTTAAGATAATCTTTTAATTTAATTTAATCCCTAATATTTCAGTGGTTAGCCTCAATAAGACATATCATCAAACGTGCTTGTGGTGGAGTAATTACCCTGAAGTGTTGAAATGCCACTGTCAATTGACACTGAATGTTTTTTACAGTGAACATATTTCAGACTATACATCGTATAATGAAATTAAATATAATAATGGAAATACGGTAATAATGTATTTCATATTTCTAGGCGTCTATAGGGCTTACATACACGTGGTGTTTTGATCGTATTGGACGGGCTGCAAAGCAAGTGGCTATTCAGACCATCTGAGCTGTTCTCTTGTCTTTTCGGCAAATCCAACGTCGACATTATAAGCTACACCATCGCCATATCTCCACAGGTACCGCGGATTTCACAAGAACACCATCACGATGGCGAACATGGTCGGAGACTGGATACTGGTTCCCGAGTTGACCACTGGTCATGATGAGTTTTCTAAAGCCATGGGTAGGAACCTTCTTTACTTTTAAACAATACTATAAACGCATTTTTCTCCAATTACAGATACATTTGTACATGAAAATATATCCCAGATTTCAAAGTATGACTTTAACAACGTAAATCTGAAGGTGGTATTTAATGATTGCGACAGTATCAACACAAGGTAAGAAAACGTACAACTTTATAGATAACTTCTGGTTTATTACATATAGCGACGTTTCGATGTAGATTCTCACACTGTTATCAAGCTGGAATGACAAGAGTGAGTGAGTTGGGTTTAACGCCGCTTTGAACAGTATTCCAGTCATATCACGGCGTGTCAGCTTAATGTGGGAGGAAAGCACGAAGTGATGCAGGTCTCAGACATTTACTGCTTCTGTGAAACCCACGAGCACGGGCATGGTGCTGACAAACCTAGAAACATAATCGGGGTGAACCGGGATTCGAACCCACAATCATAGGTTTGTTTCTGGCGTGCCTAAGGGACGCAACTCTGCACAGCGAATCGCGGCGCCTTAGACGACTGGGCCACCTGGGGTGACAAGAACTAAGTGACGAGACGTATATGCATGACATGTGATCAGGAGCAGATTAACATATACAACAACAGGTAATACATGTAGATAACAAGTAGCATACAGATAACAGGATGAAGCCAAATGTACAGTTAGAATAACAAATAGCACACAGGTAATGAAGCACACGGGTAATGAAGCCGAATGTACAGTAAGAATAACACATAGAACACAGGTAATGAAGCACATGGGTAATGAAGCCAAATGTACAGTAAGAATAACACATAGAACACAGGTAATGAAGCACATGGGTAATGAAGCCAAATGAACAGTAAGAATAACACATAGAACACAGGTAATGAAGCACATGGGTAATGAAGCCAAATGTACAGTAAGAATAACACATAGAACACAGGTAATGAAGCACATGGGTAATGAAGCCAAATGTACAGTAAGAATAACACATAGAACACAGGTAATGAAGCACATGGGTAATGAAGCCAAATGTACAGTAAGAATAACACATAGAACATAGGTAATGAAGCACACGGGTAATGAAGCCGAATGTACAGTAAGAATAACACATAGAACACAGGTAATGAAGCACATGGGTAATGAAGCCAAATGTACAGTAAGAATAGCACATAGAACACAGGTAATGAAGCACATGGGTAATGAAGCCGAATGTACAGTAAGAATAACACATAGAACACAGGTAATGAAGCACATGGGTAATGAAGCCAAATGTACAGTAAGAATAGCACATAGAACATAGGTAATGAAGCACATGGGTAATGAAGCCGAATGTACAGTAAGAATAACACATAGAACACAGGTAATGAAGCACATGGGTAATGAAGCCAAATGTACAGTAAGAAGAACAAATAGCACACGGGTTATGAAGCACATGGGTAATGAAGCACACGGGCAATGAAGCACACAGGAAATGAAGCACACGGGAAATGAAGCACACGGGAAATGAAGCCAGATTACAGTAAGGATAAGGATTAAAAGATTAAACAGTTGTGACAAGCTGATTGGATCCTAATCACAAAAGTCTATTGCTTGATTAGATCTTCATAGGCAGTGGAGATGCAATACCCTTGATCTCTGTTGATCAAGGTTTGTGACGGCGGATTTCTATAGTTTCTGAGAGTTTTCCTTTGGTGAAGTCCTGATGTTTGGTTGAGAGGATTTGGACTTTGTCAAACTGAAATGGCCAGGGAATTTTTGCTGGTAGTCTGAGAGTACTGAGCGTTAAACAACAAACCAACCAACAAACCATGGATCACGCGACATTTTGACTAATTGTCGTAGTGACCCGCTCTGAAAAATATTTTTCATGTTTACAACGCTACAACTTCAAGGTTAAAATATATTGTCCACTCTAAAATGTATTTAAAAGGCGTTAAATGTGCGATAACGCGATAACGCCACAAACGTCAAAATCTCGCCTTTCCACATTGTTGCAATTGGTTTTGAAAGGACGACAACGCGACGATGTAGGATTCCATATAATAATGATAATTCTTTTCCAGGAATGTCAGACGCAGAACGCGAGGCAACTCGCAACCTCGTGTACACCTTCCATCTGTCACGTGACGGTGACGAATGGTACATGAAGGTGGTCACTGAAACTGGCGTCGTGTTTGTTGACACCAAGTTCAGGATGGACGTGCCCTTCACCTATTCGGATCTCGACAAGACCGCAACGCTAACGGTGGGTTGTTGTATATTTGCTGACATTAACGCTACTGTCTTTTAACACGGAACAATAAGTTGTGTAGAGGAGTTGCGTCCCTTAGGCGTGACAGAGTCCTGTCACTGCGGGTTTCAATTTCCGCTTCGCTCTTATCATGATTGTTTTGTTTGTCGTCACCATATGATATCGTCACTGCAATTGTCTCGAACTATGCTCAAGTCGAGTTCAGTCCGATGTCAGTGTGTATAAAACTCCATGAATTGGAATTGTGGTCAATCGAAAACACACAGAGTTATACACATCTCGAAACACCCTCAACACTGTGCTAACGAAGGTTTATTGTAAAACTGTTTGTTAGTAAACTTAGCAATGTACCTATAAGGCCTTAGCTAGATAATATGTCGACTGTATGAGGTATATTTGCACGATTTGTTATTAGCGACGGTCCAACCTGTCACATCTTACTCTTGTTCCCTGCTCAATGTGAGGTGCGACAACTTATGACATGATGAGACGGAACCAAGCTTAAACGGCTCTCTGTTTCCCCACCATTCCTGACTGACTGACTGACTGAGTATGGTTTTACGCCGCTTTTAGCAATATTCCAGCAATATCACGGCGGGGGACACCAGAAATGGGCTTCACACATTGTACCCATGTCGGGAATCGAACCCGGGTCTTCGGCGTGAAGTGCGAACGCTTTAACCACTAGGCTACCCGACCGCCCCCCACCATTCCTGAAAAAACGCACCCGTGAAGATCCGGGTTAGAATTGGTCTTCAGAACCCATGCTTGTCCTAAGATGCGGCTATGTTTGTCCAAAGATGCGGCTATGTTTGTCCTAAGATGCGGCTATGCTTGTCCGAAGATGCGACTATGCTGTCCTAAGATGCGGCTATGCTTGTCCTAAGATGCGGCTATGTTTGTCCTAAGATGCGGCTATGTTTGTCCAAAGATGCGGCTATGTTTGTCCTAAGATGCGGCTATGCTTGTCCGAAGATGCGACTATGCTGTCCTAAGATGCGGCTATGCTTGTCCTAAGATGCGGCTATGTTTGTCCTAAGATGCGGCTATGCTTGTCCGAAGATGCGACTATGCTGTCCTAAGATGCGGCTATGCTTGTCCTAAGATGCGGCTATGTTTGTCCTAAGATGCGGCTATGTTTGTCCTAAAGATGCGGCTATGCTTGTCCTAAGATGCGACATGCTTGTCCTACGATGCGACATGCTTGTCCTACGATGCGACTATGCTTGTCATAAGATGCGTCATGCTTGTCTGAAGATGCGACTATGCTTGTCCTAAGATGCGGCTATGCTTGTCCTTAGATGCGGCTATGCTTGTCCTAAGATGCGACTATGCTTGTCCTAAGATGCGGCTATGCTTGTCCTAAAATGCGACTATGCTTGTCCTAAGATGCGGCTATGTTTGTCCAAAGATGCGGCTATGCTTGTCCTAAGATGCGGCTATGTTTGTCCTAAGATGCGGTATACATATGGTCTCTGGTTTAGAGGTGAGGTGAGGTGAAATGGGTTTAACGTCGCGTCCAAAATTATTGCTCTTATATAACGACGTGCATGTACGTATGTGTGTGTGTGTGTGTGTGTGTGTGTGTGTGTGTGTCTGCCTGTACTAGTCCGGACTGATGCCGATTTATAGTGCTAGCTCACTGAGATACCATGCCGCAGTTTAACATGAATACCCCACTCAGACACAGTATACTGACTCCGAGCCGACCAGTCCTTGTTTTAGCCCCTTAATGCCAAGCGCCAGACAGGGTAACAACAAGTCACATCTTTTAACGTCTTTTGGAATGACGCGGCAGGGGATCGAACCCCGTACCTTCCACTCTCCGGGCGGGCGCTCTACCACTAGACCACGGAGGCGGTCCTCTGGTTTAGAATAAAAATGACACGATGAACAGTAACGAAAACGTCCCGCTATGATATAATGTGTATCAAGACCTAAGCTACACCAGAAGCATCTGGTAGTCACTGGCAGTATCGCAAAATATGATTAAAATTAAAAAAAATTAATTACACCAACTGTCTTCAAACTGTTGATGAGTCAATATAGTATATAGTTTCATAATACCAGTTACCACAAATTTACAGTTATTTCAATACTATAAAGTAATGCAGGTATCTACTGAAGTACTGAAATGAATAAATTCATTAATAATATTTGCGTGGAAAATGATAAAATAATATTTGTGTGGAAATTGATCAATGAAATTGAAAATGGTCCTCATTTTATAATATGAAAACAGAAAAGGTTCTAACGGTCTAGTGAAATTCAAAATGAGATATTTTTTGTTATCCTTTGATCGTTGTCAAGCAAATTGGATGCAGTCACTGGAAGTAAGTATTTTGTGGAAACATGTTTTGAATGGTGCCACAGTAATATTATATTTTATTAATCATAATTGACATCCACGTGGCAATCCGCGCCGTGGTATAACTTGAATACTGTGAAAAGCGTCGTGAAACCCAAGTTACTCACTCACTGAAATCGACGTGACAATCCGCGTCGTGGTATAACTTGAATAATGTTAAAAGCGTCGTGATACCAAAGTTACTCACTCACTGAAATCCACGTGGCAATTCGCGCCGTGGTATAACTTGAATACTGTTAAAAGCGTCGTGAAACCCAAGTTACTCACTCACTGAAATCCACGTGGCAATTCGCGCCGTGGTATGACTTGAATACTGTTAAAAGCGTGGTGATACCTAAGTGTCTCACTCACTGAATCCACGTGACAATTAGCGCTGTGGTATAACTTGAATACCGTTAAAAGCGTCGTGAAACCAAAGTTACTCACTCACTGAAATCCACGTGACAATTCGCGCTGTGGTATAACTTGAATACTGTTAAAAGCGACGTGATCCCAAAGTTACTCACTCACTGAAATCCTCGTGGCAATTCGCGGCGTTGTATAACTTGAATACCGTTAAATGCTTCGTAAAACCCAAGTTACCAACTCACTGAAATCAACGTGACAATTCGCGCCGTGGTATAACTTGAATACTGTTAAAAGCGTCGTAAAACCCAAGTTACCCACTCACTAAAATCCACGTGGCAATTCGCGCCGTGGTATAACTTGAATACTGTTAAAAGCGTCGTGAAACCCAAGTTACTCACTCACTGAAATCCACGTGAAAATTTACACGGGCAGTTCAATGACCAGATCATATTTTATACGGACTGTATGTAAAAAGACTTTTACATTTCGCGTAACGTCAGTTTGCCGCTGTACTGAAAATATATGCTTACAATGAGCAATAATATAACATACATATAAGTGTTGATGTCAGACATCAAGGATTGCACTTAACATTCCGATTGCAAAATGCGAACAAAGCGAGCTGGAAGGAACGGTAAGGTGCTCACTCAACGTCTCTTCCGGTGGCTATTAAATGGTCTAAAATTAAGACATTGAGCACGTGATGTAACACCGCATCACGGAATATATATTTCATTGTTTAGTGGAAAAAAGGAAATTTAAAATCCACACACAAGTTCCGTTACCATTAAAGGTGAAGGCTGCAGTGGTTGACAGTTAGAAGTGTTAAGTGTCACGGTAACATTTACATTGCGCATACCACAGGTGTTGCCAGTTTAAAGTTTGACCTGCTTGGCCAGCGCCCCAAGCCGTAGTGGACGTAATTATATAATGACATAAAATGACACATTGAATGGTATGTTTGAGGCAATTACATGGCCCACTCAATCGGGAACATTGTGTATAAAGACGAAACTCTTTACTGGTACTGAAACACCGGAAGTTGAGATGTTTAAAAAATCCAGAGAGACTTATCGATTCAAAGTTTGAACACTAAACAATTCTGAAATGTCCCATAGATGGCCCATATTGTATGACAGGACGTCCCACGGGCTTGGAAAGTCCTTCTCGTTTCCAATGTTTATTGAAGCGAGAGATGGGCGATGATTTTTACGGAATCTGTCGTAGAGCCCATAACAGTCGTTCGGATTACCACGTGCTAACCTTTTCGAGGTTGCATGATTACACATTTCGACTGTCACTTTCCAGATGTCATGAAGAGGGGCGGTCGGGTAGCCTAGTGGTTAAAGCGTTCGCTCGTCATGCCGAAGACCCGGGTTCGATCGCCGACATGAGTACAATGTGTGAAGCCCATTTGTGGTGTCCCCCGCCGTGATATTGCTGGAATATTGCTAAAAGCGGCGTAAAACCATACTCAGTCACTCACTCCAGATGAAGATCATTCTGACATGACCCCAAATTGGTTGTCATTTCATATTTGTTTAGCGGTAGCGAGAACAACGATCTGATTATAATGAGATTGAACCCCTTCCCCTTTCGCTAACACAACAGATTTACACATCCCACACTTATGGTCAAGAACAAGTCATCTGTGTATCTGCATTGTGTTTATAACCATCTTTCCTACTTGTTACAGAGCCTGATCTCTCTACGAAATGATCACTTCATCGAGAAGATGACTCAAGACAAGAACGGGGTCGTCATGCACTGGGACGTGGACACCTACAGAGATGGAGACTTCGTCATTACAGTAAGTCAGCTCAGCCTTTCATCCTTCGTCAAAACATCACTGGATTGTATGCACTACGCTCCTCCCTTACCAGTGAATACATACGTCCGCTTTTGGAGATTCAGTTGCTATTATAAACCAACCAATCAAGACACGGCCTGGTTCTAGCGAGAGGGAAACCATGACCAATCAGTGCTCAGAGATGACAGCACAAACGGCACTATTTTCCGTGCAACATGTTAAAGTTATCTTACGGGCATGTACTCCACACGTTGCTTCAGTAGGGCTTATTTGACTTCCATGCGGTACCACGGCCTTTTTAATGAGATGACGTGAACCACACACGTCACTACTGCACCGCCCCCAATCGGTCGTGTGAATTCACCCCTAGTGGAGGAATGTTGAGTCTTAACAACCCATGAGGTATAGACTGAAATGAATATTTTCATTGGTCTATTATCATAATGAAATCTTATTGTTTTTAACTATGTTTGACGTACCTACATTCATTTGAAATTGAAATTCTCGGACTTATCTGAAGACCTTGTCCCCAGGGAGAGGTATGAATACGATGGGTGGTTCCCATGGTTAACTACCCCTGGGGATCCTGGTAAAGAATGTACGTCCCCGGCAATATAAGCTTGTCGCCCGAGGCGAATAAATGGATTGTGTGGTCAGGCTCGGTGACTTGGCTGATTGGAGGTCATTGTATCCCATTTACGTGGATCGATGCTCATGATGTTAATCACGAGATTGTCTGGTCCAGACTCAAACAAACAAACATGTTTAACTTCAGGGTTGGAGTGGAAGCCGATTCCTTTTATCCGCTATTGTGTATGTTGGATATCGCTTTTGTAAGATGACCTTTCTGTTTCATAACTACTATTCAGTATTCTTCATAAGTTCACTAATTACACTCATTTCTTATACAGTAACGCTCCATTAATTCGATATATCTTTCCTTATCGTTTGAGATGATTTGTCATAAACTAGATATCGTTATCAAAGCTCTAAAGCAATCTGATAATATACAGATGTTGTTCCCAATCAGGATTACGTCTATTGAGGGGGCATGGGTCGCCCAGTCGTCCAAGGCGCCGCGATTTGCCGTGCAGAGTTGCGTCCCTTGGGCACGCCAGAAACCTATGATTGTAGGTTCGAATCTCGGTTCGCCCCGATTATGTTTCTAGGTTTGTCAGCACCATACCCGTGCTCGTGGCATTCACAGATGGGAAACATCTCTGACCTGCATCACTTCGGACTTTCCTCCTACATTAAGCTGACACGCCGTGATATCTGGAATACTGTTAAAACCGGCGTTAACGCCAACTCACTCACTTCTTCTATTGAGCTCCATGCATCAATGTTATGCCAACTTGTTCAAGAACTTATTGCCTAATGTTCGCAACACTATTTGATAAAGTCACTGTTTTGATAACTTAGCTAGCTCAAGAATTGTTTTTTACTCAGCTAAATATTTAAACAAGGTATTTGTTATTCCGGTTCAGCAGTGTTGCAAAATGATGCCTTATATATTCCATGGGAACCCCAGACTTCGAGATTACTTGTGAATGAGCTGTAGGCGGCAAACCAAGCGTCATAATCTGGGCGAGTATGGGATTCGAACCCACGATCATAAGGTTCGGCACGTCAAGGGACACAACCCTGCACAGCGAATTGCGGTGACTCAGACGACTTGGCCTTACTCTGTGCTTGTTTCTGTTCCCAGGCTCAGACCAAGGATGGCGCCACGGAGACACAGAGACTGAGAAAACGCTGACTTCCTCTTAAATCACGTGCCAGCTTCATACCTGATGAACTACCTCTTCACCTGCCTCACACTTTTCAAGTCAATGCTATTATACCAATAGTCATGTTCGATCTGTTTCATGTGTACTGACTGACTGTGTAAGTACGTTATTGACGTGTTATGTGTTATAGTCAGACTCAGTCATATAGTACTCCTTCAGGCAACTTGCCTTCATATGAATCCTATCACTATCGCCGTCACTGCTACTGCTTCTGCTACTACTACAGCTACTGCTACTGTTCTGTTCACTACTACTGCTACGACCAGTGCCCTCTGCTGCTGCTACTGCTACTATCAATACCAAATACTGCTACTACTACACCTACTGCTACTTATTGTACTGCCTGCTTCTACAGCTACTGTCAATACCAATACTGCTACTGCTACTCCGCCGTGATATTGCTGAACTATTGCCAAAAGCGGCGTAAAACCATACTCACTCACTACTCCTACTGCCATGACTGAGCAGTCGAGCTGATGTCTATTACTACAGATGTTTTATTCCAAAAGTGTGATGTAAATCATATATCGTGTGACGCTTCATTAAACATTTCAATCTCTATTTTTTCCAGCGCTTCTCGTTTTGTATCCATCCTATTGTTACACCGTCCATATGTTATACGCCTAACAGATTTTATTGGGACATGGTTGAATTGTCCTCTGCCTTTCACCTTTTATGTTTTGATGAAATTATCAATTGTACCTGACAGAAACAACAAAAACGAGATTTAAATGCATATAGCACATGTCCGCGAGGTTGGTGAAACCCATGAGAACGAGTATTGTGCTAAAACGCCTTATCAGGTTGAATATGAGATTCGAATTGACAATCATAGGTTTCCGGTTAGCGTAAGGGACGCAACTCTGCACAGGACACTGCAGCGACGACACGGCATGTTGTGACCCCTTATATTCTTAAAAAACAAACGTTGTTTGTTGCCAGCTATGTAAATAATGAACCATAAAAAGCCACCAACCAAACTCAACGAGTTCTCCACAAATGTCGGATCTAGTAGCGATGGGATAGCCTAGTTGTTAAGGAGTTCGCTCGTCACGCCTTAAACCCGGGTTCGATGCCCAACATGGGTGCCTTTATATGGCTGGAACATTGCTAAAAGCAGCGTCAAATCAAACTCACTCACTCACTCACTCACTCACTCACTCACTCACTCACTCACTCACTCACTCACTCAATGGAAAGATCTGATCGACAGGGGTCGGGTAGTTTTCTGGCTGATTGATTGGGATCCTACTCCTAACGGGTGGATCGTTGTTTTTAACCTCTTGTATGCCTTTCTAAGATTCAAATATTTACAGGCAGTGATAAAACTGGAATAGTGTCGGCTGGTCAAACAACATACATCCGCTCCCTCAATCATTTCCTGCAGTGATGCATTGGGATACGAAGACATGAAACAACCACGTCAGCGAGTCTGAATACCCGATCCCATTAGTCGCCACAGATAGTCATTCAAGAAATAGCAGGGGACACTGATAGATGTGTCTCTTTCCTCTCTACAAAGATAGAATGTTTTTGATCACGTCATTTGGGTTGTATACTACATGACTGATATAAAACTATCACTCCGGTTTATTGAGAAATATAGATAATGTTTCAACTAAAACACCCTAGCTGACCAATAACGTGCCATCTATTTACACACAGCAAAACAACAAGTGAAGCTGTGGGCGCCGTGTGCATTTGTAACAACCGACGCCACTTCTCCACTTCTTGTTTTGCTGCGTCTCACGTCCACACTCCTGTCTCATAGCAACCATGTGACGCATTCACTCAATACCCCGATACGACACGAACTATATACATGTCAACTTGTGACGATATGAACTCCAATTGAAAAAACTATGTGAACACTAAATGAAAAGACAACATGAACACTAAATGAAAAGACTACAAAAACACTAAATGTAAAGACTGCATGAACACTAAATGAAAAGACTACACGAACACTAAATGAAAAGACTACATGAACACTAAATGAAAAGACTACAAAAACACTAAATGTAAAGACTGCATGAACACTAAATGAAAAGACTACACGAACACTAAATGAAAAGACTACATGAACACTAAATGAAAAGACTACGTAAACACTAAATGAAAAGACTACGTGAACACTAAATGAAAAGACTACATGAACACTAAATGAAAAGACTACATGAACACTAAATGAAAAGACTACATGAACACTAAATGTAAAGACTACATGAACACTTAATGAAAAGACTACATGAACACTAAATGTAGAGACTACATGAAAACTAAATGAAAAGACTACATGAACGCTAAATGTAAAGACTACATGAACACTTAATGAAAAGACTACATGAACACTAAATGTAAAGTCTACATGAACACTAAATAAAAAGGCTACATGAACACTAAATGAAAAGACTACATGAACGCTAAATGTAAAGACTACATGAACACTAAATGAAAAGACTACGTGAACACTAAATGAAAAGACTACGTGAACACTGGATGGAATCGAGATAAGATCACACTATAATATGATTATTTATCAAGAAATGAATCATGCTCAATTCGGTTCCAGATCCGCATATTTAGAGCCAACCGAAGCTGCTACATTTTAGGCAACCCATTCTTTGCAAAACAGGACCTTCTGTATATTTTTGTTTTCGATTAGTACGAGAATACATTAAGGGGATTATGCTCACACAAATTGGCATCAAACACATTTAATGCAAGTCGCTACACCACCACTTGCCTTTACCCCAAGTCAACCATGGATGCTTTACTATATTTTCTACAGGCCGTGGTTACCATGTAACACTTTCTGAGTTAAGTACAGATTCCTGTACGTTTGGGGGTTGAGTCCCGTCCGAAATTCGAGTGAGTGAGTTAAAATTTTACGTCATTTTTATTTCAGCCATATAGTGACGAGAACATTAATGCAATTTAAACTTAGATGAATAAAATCTGTTAACGACGGACAGTATAATAACTAGACTATCACAGTTTAGAAGTAAAACTAGTTGCGAACAATTAAAATAATAATCTATGATTCGACAATACTCCGGGATTCGAACCCACACTGCAAGAGTGAGGCACCTAATCGCCAGCACACATAGTCAGCGATCTAACCCACTCAGCCACCGAGGCTTCCACAAAATGAAAATCCAATAACTGGTAGTCCAGATCACGTACTTTGTCTACCCCTCTGACGTGTGTAAATTGGCACAGCTCCCATGGCCGAAAGCTATGAACGCACAATACAATTTCGAAAGTGGTTAAAAGTAACAAGTGTTATATTTGGGATCACACTTTCTGAGTAAAGTACAGAATCTCGTACTCACTCTGTAAGTGTGGGTTCGAATCCAGGACGGCGCTCAGAAAATGTACGAGAATCTGTACTTTACTCAGAAATAGTTATCCCAAATGTAACATTTGTTACATTTGACCACTTTCTAAATGGCATTGTGTGTTCATGGTTACCATACAAGAATAAACTTAGGGCCTATCTACTCTCAAATATTAAGAAGAGCTGTTTCGAATACTGGCAGTTTTTCCATGATAAGAATATCGTATGGGCTGGTCCTCTTTAGATACTAAATTATGTATGTATTTTTAAAAGGGCATCTTGTAGCGTGTGTAAATGATGGTCAAATACAAATTTCTGAAGGTATGAGTAGTTTCCTCAAGTTAATTAAAATCAATTAACGTTTACTAATTTTTTTATCATGTCTCTTTACTTTTTTATTGACCTTATTCGTTAAAGACTGTATATATAACGAATATTGTTATTGTTGATCCATCGTCCAGTTATATATATATATATATATAACTGGACGATGGATCAACAATAACAACCAATGCTAAGCCACCATACCCTCTGCGCAGAGACGCCAACCTGGTTAGACATGGTTATTAACAATAATAACAATAATATCCGCAGTTTTTATTGAGATTTATTGAATATCACATGAATGTAGCTTGCTTGCGTAGTGACGGAAAGTATGTTTCTAGCGCAGGTGATTCAAATAATATGTTCAGGTTACACAAACAGAATTACAGGTGCAATGTCCCATACTAAATGTCAATATTGATGTAGTAATCACATTAATGGGTTGCTGGCTTTCTATCACCATGGTCCCTCCTTTTGATGTGAGTTGTAGGTACAATCAATAATTTAAAGATGCAATATCAAAAAGAAAGCTCTACAATCTGATAATTTTCTGCTAATATCTGGATTGGTACATAGTTCAGCAAGACATTGACTTCATATATTGCCAAAAAAGTTTTATAATCTGATAATTTTCTGCATATCTGGATTGGTACATAGTTCAGCAAGACATTGACTTCATAAATTGCCAAGTATTTTATCAACGCCAGGAACAATGACGACAGTTTGTTTGTTTTGTTTGGGGTGCGTGCGTGCTTGCGTGTGTGTGTGGGGGTGTGTGCGTGCGTGCGTGCGTGTGTGTGTGTACACTGATCATGAGAGAAGAAAACAAATCCGTTACAGTTGAAGTTGTAAAGGTCCTAGATTGGAGACAACAAATTACAGACTGCCGTAGTTACCCTACCCTGCCTGACTAATTCCCAATATGTTTTTGGCTAAAATTATATTTATTTGAATAGACGAACCCGTGTTAGCAGAGAACCGAGTATAGGCCATCAGTGAACTTAATGTTAAGAATTGACTTATTTTCTCGCTAACTTAACTGTATTTAGTAATTGAAATATTATGATTAAAATGAAATTTGGAAGTGTATCTGGTGTTGTAAGTCTAAATATTAAGAATGTCTGATGGCGGCGAAACCCAACCCAACAAGGTATTTGTTTCTGTAGGCAGGGGCTAATCACTGTACACAGCTTGGAACAACATCTTTGTACATTTAAAACAGTAACGCTTACACATGCACGCGTCACTTGATGTAAGAAGATGTGTTAAGCTGCAATCGAAACATTAAAACACTCCAGTGTGTAGTACAATATTTCATTATTTGATATGTAAATAACATTATCACACAGGCAGACAGTCAATCTATGGAAACTATGAAACGGAAATGATGTTACATGTGAACGTAACATACAATGCACAAGCTGTCAGTGTTGTTTAAAAGTACATCCAATTCAAATTTCAGTAAAGTATTCACATCAAATCCTGTACAAACAGCACACAGGATGTTAGCTGAATGTTGTGGTCATTATCTCATCCCATGGTTGAGTGGAAGAATTGACAGTTTCACCATGAATTCACACACTACATCTCTGTTGGGATGCTGAATATCAAGCCAGGTATGTTTCCACACTGTAGTGATGTTCCTGCAGTGTCCAGTGGGGAGTGTGAGAAGGTGAACTGTACTCCATCACTGGTTACAGTCTTCTTTCCATCAACCCCCCTGTAATAGTTACCGGGAGGTAGGTCCACACACAGAGTGTAGGTTGTGCTTGGCTGCAGTAGTACAGACTCGGGAAATAGGACATCAGTCATCTCTTTGTTGCTGTGACGAGTCATCCATGTCTTCCATAAGGGTGCAGCAACAACTATGTCATTTTGGTCATTCACCCTTATACTCAGTAGGATGTCTTCATTACCCTGTTCACGGTAGAGCTGACATCCTTTCAGGTGAATGTTGTGAGTGACAGAAAACGAGATAGCATGCCTGCAACGTGTTTTAGCAGAATGCCAATATTCTGACATATATTGAAATCTGCTTACATGTTTACAAATATTGGACTCTTGTATCTGAGCAACTCCTGATTTCATTCTCTGTACAGTTTTAAATGGAGAAATATCAACAGTCGAGTCAACAGATCTGTCAATTATCTGAACTCTCTCACTGTTTGTCAGCACACCAGATCGGCCTACAACCTTCACCAGGACCTCCAGGGTCATGCTGATAAACCGGATCTCATACCTCATATCTCCCAGGAGTCTCCGTCTGTTCTCAGGCGTGTCTCTCACACCTTCCTTCCTGCACCGCTCCTTTGTCCAGGACACGACTGCTTCAAATATGTCTGACTCTCTCAGGTTCAGAGTGTTTGATTTGAGGAACTTTTCCAGACAACAAGGACAAAGATCTACAAACCCTGGAGATTTGATGACACTCTCCCCTCCTTCAGTCAGGATATTCAGGGCCTTCTGTTCCAGGTCTACCTCCCCGTAACCATGACACTGCTCTAGGATCTGGCAGACATTGTCTTCTGACAGGGACGTCTCCAGAAACGTTACACACAGATCGTACAATGCATCCAGAGAATATTTCCTGGAGGTGTACATTAGTCCTGTGACTGTTTCAGTGTTGATAGTAGTCTTCTCTGTGTACACATACCTACAACAGTGTGTAGGATTTCAATGTTACGAGCAATTAAAACCAAGGTTTCATGAGATTTATCAACTTAATTCACATCCAAATAGCACAATCAGGTTAGGTTGTCTTATATATATGTCACTTGTTCAGACATTTCAGTGATCCATTTACAACATGTTCATCGCCACACTGACTTTTACACCCAATGGAATTTGTTTCGTGGGATAATTCATACTGGTTATTCTGTAGTGAGGACGTTTATAGTTACCTTTATATGTTAACCTACATGATATTCTTACTTCAGACTTGCTTGGTCGGGTAGTCATGTATACAGATACAACTAGGCTACCTTGATGACGCAGGATTACTGAACACTTCAAGGAAATATGCGAATTTATACAGTTTAAATTTACCCTCATTGTGGAGAAATACATTTCTGTCTGCCAAGTGACTTCGAGACATTGGTATATATCACGCAAAGTAAAATGGAAGGTGTTTTGTCATTGGGTATTTGATTGTTTTGTAAAATTAAAAGATTAATCGAACCTCAGGAACTCTTTGAAGATGTCTGCCGCAATGTCAGGAATGGTTACCTCCCCTTTCTCCGCAAGGGGGCCACAAAACATTGCATGGAAGACACAGCTGCGACTGACAAGAACGTAGCGGTGAGCTCGGACCACCTGTTTCTCTGACCCCAACAGGAAAGTGACGTCACAGAAGTCTTCCGTGTCGAGCATGCACAGATTACACTCTGTGACAGTCTTCCCTGACTGCCAGTTGTCCACATATCCAGATTCTCGGCTCTCACCAGACATTGCGAAGCTTGGAACTGACAATACAGGATTATACAGATAAAAGCCGTGAGTAGATGATTTAAACCTTAAATATACATAACCATTCCATTATTCGATAATAACTTCATGAGTATTAAAATTCACTTGTTTTAAATCAAAACCTACAGAATCAGCTACACTTTGCATGGTGTTTTCAGGAGTCCATTCACATAATGTTCATCACTGTTTTGCCCTTTGCAAAGGCACTTATAAATCACTTTTTGAGCATTGCCAGACAACAATTGTTTTTATATATATATATATGATACACGCCTATCTGAAAATGAACGGTAAATGCAAATTTAGGTACTTTCTTCGAAGGCCAGATATCAGTTTCTCATACCTAATGTTGGAGGAAATCTACAAATATCCAGTAAATTGTCAAACTTCACTATCTTAGCCTATACAATTATGTGTCACGAATCTTTACAGTCAACCCTATCAAAAGATACCCAAAGACGACTTTGACACACTTTTAAACATTAAAATGTACAAACCTCAAGTGTCTTACATATAAAGTGAATCAGATGCCTGTACTGCAGATGGTGAGCATGAATATCAAAAGGACACAACTCTGTAATCATCGTTATCTTCGGGTATCGTTTTGTTCAGCTAGTCACACAACCAACCAACAAACACCCCCCCCCCCCAAAAAAAAAAAAAATAACCAAAAAAAAACAACAACAAACAAACAAACAAAAAAACAAACTACAACAACAACAAAACAAACAAACAAACAAACAAAAACAACCCAAAAACATATAAATGACATATAGTCGCTTAGATGTACACAACTACAACAACAACCGTCAAATTGGCAAATTGAGTTGTTCACAGTGCCGGTCACCCATAAATGTTTTCCTTACCCTCGATGAAGATGCCCTTGCAAGCGTGAGGGTCGACATCTGGATATATGTTCAGATGAAACGAACAACTGTCCAGTTACCCATACTCAAGTGTCATAGGAATACTGTTAAAAGCGGCGTTAAACACAACTCACTCACTCACTCAAGTGTCATACTTCACAATTTCAATCGAAGAAAATCACATTTCGTCCCTTTAACAGTCAACCCTATTTAGAGTTTAAAGCACAAATATGCGGGACAACGACCAAGCCACTAACAATAAATGTTTACAACTCAAGTCACAATGAACGTATGAAGACAGGTGCATATTTTGACTTGCACAAGATGATCAAAGGGACACAACTCTAGAGTCTAACACAAAACCCTTGTGACGATTTACTCTGTGGATTCCACACATGGTTTACTTCCACTTCAATATGGCTTCAGCCACAAACAGTCACACACGTAATGACAGGACAGTCGGCAGCTGTGTTAAGTATCACCTGATCTATGTGAAGCTGACTGACTGACAAATGACTGTTACAATATATGCAGTTGTATATCTAACAGGGTGTGGCTGTGTTGTCAACAACTGAGTGTAAACTACTAAATCTGGTAAATACCGCTACACATTCTACACCAGACAAACCATTGTTCAGTACAGTTGTGTGAACAGTTTACCCCTTACCTGAGTTGGTGCCGATGGTTTGAACACAGGGCGCGAGAGAGCGTCCTTCGCCTGTCAGACAACTGTAATCCTTGTTTCGTTTTGACAAGACTTCCGCTTTCAAGGTGTAAATTTTATGTGCGCTTCAGTTAATATCAAACGGAGGACAACTCCGTCAATCACTGGGTCGATTTTGTACAGTTCCAGATGAGTTGAAATGGGGTTCAACGTTTCGTTCAAGATTGTTGTACTTACATGAAAGTGCATGTGTGTGTGTGTGCCTTTGTGTGTGCGTGTGCGAGTGCGTGTATGTGTGTGTGTGTGTGTGCGTACCCACGTGACAGCAAGGATAACAACACATACCAAAAATAACGTATTTTGGTTTTACGTGAACAGGGTGCACTGGCACAGAGAAATTACGATTTAGGGATAAAGGTTTTGCAATTGTGTGCCCTGAACCATGAACTGTAGGCAATAGGAGCATAAACCTGTCAATTTGGAGGAAAATCGAATTACGTTGCCCAGACACATGAAACGTTAATTCAAATGGACAACCTAATCAAACGTGTCGCTTACAATCTTATTAAAATGAGATCTTAGTGCTCGCTACCGATACACGGAGATCTGAGGACATCCCAATACAGGTCACGTCAGAACGACCTTTCGCGAACTTTGACTTACCAATGAAATTACTTACAACATATGCCAGTCAGAAAGCAGCCAGTGTCAAACCGGCGACTTCCATTCCAGACTAGCTCTGAAAAATATCGATTCAAAATTTGAATACTAAACTAAAGAAACTTGAAGGTCTAATAGATGCCGAGTTTGCAAGACAGTGTGGAAAGTCTTCTGTTTTAAATGTTTATCCCATTGAAGCGAGAGATGGGTGATGATTTTGACGGCATCAGTCGTACAGACCGTAACTGTCGTTCAGAATACCATGTATTAACATTTCTGATGTTGCAGGATTAGAAATCACATCCAACTATCACTTTGCCGACACTCTGATTGGTCGGATGAAAGGTCATTCTGACATGACCCAAAAGTGGGCTGACAACGCTAGCGGAACAGTGTTGAACATCTCGCACTTATGGTCAAGAACAAGTCATCTGTGTATCTACGTTATGTTCATCAACGTCGTTTCGACTTGTTTAGAGCCTGATCTCTTCACGGAACGAGCACTTCATCGAGAAAATGACTCAAGACAAGAACGGGGACGTCATGCACTCGGACGTGGACACCTACAGAGATGGACACTTCGCCATTACAGTAAGTCAGCTCAGCCTTTTATCTTTCGTCAAAACATCACTGGTTTGTTCCCCCCTTACCAGTGAATACATGCTCCCGCTTTGGGAGTAGCTACTATTATAAACCGACCAATCAAGACGCGACCTGCTTCTAGCAAGAGGGAAAGCATGACCAATGGGCGCTCAGACATGACATAGCACAAACAGCACAATATTTTCCGTGCAGCATCCAAAATTATCTTACGGGCATGTACTCCACACATTGCTTCAGTAGGGCTTTTTTACTTCTATGGGGTAACACGGCCTCATTTAATGGGTTGACACACGCCACTACTGCACTGCCCCCAAGGCTCCTCCACAAACCCGTGAAGCATTGAGTGAAATGAATATTTACCTTGGTCAAATATTATAATGGAATCTTATGGTTTTAAACTATTTTGACATACCTACATGCATCTGAAATTGAAATTCTCGGACTTATCTGAACACCTTGTCCCCAGGGAGAGGTATGAATACGATGGGTGGTTCCCATGGTTAATTACCCCTGGGGATTCCGAGATTCCCCGGCAACGTGGCTGATTGTTTGTCATCATAACCAATTACCTACAAGCAGTGATAAAACTGGGATGCTATCGGCTGGTCAAACAACATACACCCGCTCCCTCAATCATTTCCTGCAGAGATGCATTCGGATACGAAGACAAGAAACAACCAGGTCAGCGAGTCTGAAAACCCGATCCCATGATCCCAGGTTGTACTCCACATGGTGCGTCAGCCATTTGGCGGGGGAGGGAGGGATGAACATTACATTTAGAGGGTGAGATCGAAGCAAGTGTTTGATGGTCCATTTCTCAAAATATTCTTTGTTTCGTCAGTGATATCTTAATGAATGAGTGAGTGAGTCAAGTTTTAGTTTCCCTTCGCCAATATTTCAGCCATATCGTGAGATGAAAAATCTATGTATTTATATTATGATACCAAACTGTCACCAAGGGGTAGTAGTAATATATCACAGTTTTTACTGTTTTAGGTTTATTTAGAACATAAAACAGATGAGGGACGGCACAATATGTAAATGGACGATGGATCACCAACAACCAATTTTAAGCCACCATACCCTCTGTGCCCTAGTTAGACATGGTTATTATCAATAATAACAATAATATCTGCAGTTTGTATTGCGATTTATTGAATAACACATGAATGTAGCTTGCTTGCGTAGTGAAAGAGAGTATGTTTCTAGCGGGGGTGATTCAAATCATATGTTCAGGTTACACAAACAGAATTACAGGTGCAATGTCCCATACTTAATGTCAATATTGATGTAGTAATCACATTAATGAGTTGCTGGCTTTCTATCACCATGGTTCCTCCTTTTGATGTGAGCTGCAGGTACAATCAATAATTTAAAAGTGGAATATCAATAAGAAAGTTCTATAATCTGATAATTTTCTGCATATGTGGATTGGAACATAGTTCAGCAAGGCACTGAATTAATATATTGCCAAAGAAAGTTCTATAATCTGATAATTTTCTGCATATGTGGATTGGGACATAGTTCAGCAAGGCACTGAATTAATATATTGCCAAAGAAAGTTCTATAATCTGATAATTTTCTGCATATCTGGATTGGGACATAGTTCAGCAAGGCATTGAACTCATATATTGCCAAATATTTTATCAACGCCACGAACAATGTCGACAGATTGTTTGTTTTGTTTTGTTTGCGTGCGTGCGTGCATGCGTGTGTGTGTGTACACTGATCATTAGAGAAGAAAACAAATCCGTTACAGTTGAAGTTGTAAAGGTCCTCGATTGGAGACAACGATTACAGACTGCCGTAGTTACCCTGCCCTGCCTGACTTATTCCCATTATGTTTTTGGCTAACATTATATTTATTTGAATAGACGAACCCGTGTTAGCAGAGAACCGAGTATGCCATTTTTGGACTTAATGTTAAGAATTGACTTATTTTCTCGCTAACTTAACTGTATTTAATTAATGAAATATGATGATTAAAATGAAATTTGGAAGTGTACCTGGTGTTGTGAGTCTATATATAAAGAATGTCTGACGGCGGCGAAACACAACCCAATAAGGTATTTGTTTCTGTAGGCAGGGGCTAATCACTGTACACAGCTTGGAGCAACATCTTTGTACATTCAAAACAGTAACGCTTAGACATGCACGCATCACTTGATGTAAGAAGATGTGTTAAGCTGCAATCGAAACATTAAAACACTTCAGTGTGTAGTACAATATTTGATTATTTGATATGTAAATCGCATTATTACACAGGCAGACAGTCAATCTATAGAAACTATGAAACGAAAATGATGTAACATGTGAACGTAACATACAATTGCACAAGCTGTCAGTGTTGTTTAAAAGTACATCCAATTGAAATTTCAATAAAGTATTCACATCAAATCCTGTACAAACGCACACAGGATGTTAGCTGAATGTTGTGGTCATTATCTCATCCCATGGTTGAGTGGAAGAATTGACAGTATCACCATCTTTTCAAACACTTCATCTCTGTTGGGATGCTGAATATCAAGCCAGGTATGTTTCCACACTGTGGTGATGTTCCTGCAGTGTCAAGTGGGGAGTGTGAGAATGTGAACTGTACTCCATCACTGGTTACAGTCTTCTTTCCATCAAACCCAGTGTAATAGCTACCGGGATGTAGGTCCACACACAGACTGTAGGTTGTGCTTGGCTGCAGTGGTACAGACTCGGGAAATAGGACATCAGTCATCTCTTGGTTCCTGTGAAGAGTCATCCATGTGTTCAATAAGGGTTCAGCAACAACTATGTTATTTTGGTCATACACCCTTATACTCAGTAGGAAGTCGTCATTACTCTCTTCACGGTAGAGCTGAAATCCTTTCAGGTGAATGTTGTGAGTGACAGAAAACGAGATAGCATGCCTGCTGATTGTATCAGCAAAATACCAACAATCTGACGCATATCGAAATCTGCTTACATGTTTATAAATATTGAGCTCCTGCATCTGAGCAACGCCCGACTTCTTTCTCTGTACAGTTGTAAATGGAGACATATCAACAGTCGAGTCAACAGATCTGTCAATTATCTGAACTCTCTCACTGTTTGTCAGCACACCAGATCGGCCGACAACCTTCACCAGATACTCCAGGGGGATGCTGGTAAACCGGATCTCATACCTCATATCTCCCAGGAGTCTCCGTCGGTTCTCAGGCGTGTCACTCACACCTTCCTTCCTGCACCGCTCCTTTGTCCACGACACGACTGCTTCAAATATGTCGGACTCTTTCAGGTTCAGAGTGTTTGATTTGAGGAACTTTTCCAGACAACAAGGACAGAGATCTACAAACCCTGGAGACTGGATGACTCTCTCCCCTCCTTCAGTCAGGATCTTCAGGGCCTTCTGTTCCAGGTCTAGCTCCCCGTAACCATGACACTGCTCCAGGATCTGGCAGACATTGTCTTCTGACAGGGACGTCTCCAGAAACGTTACACACAGATCGTACAATGCATCCAGAGAATACTTCCTGGAGGTGTACATTAGTCCTGTGACTGTTTCAGCGTTGATAGTAGTCTTCTCTGTGTACACATACCTACAACAGTTTGTAGGATTTCAATGTTACGAGTAATTAAAACCAAGCTTTCATGAGATTTATCAACTTAATTCACGTCCAAATAGCACAATCAGGTTAGGTTGTCTTATATATATGACACTTGTTTAGACATTTCAGTGATCCATTTACAAAATTTTCATCGCCACATTGACTTTTACACCCAATGGAATCTGTTTCGTTGGATAATTTATACTGGTTATTCTGTAGTGAGGACGTTTATAGTTACCTGTATATGTTAACCTACATGATATTCTTACTTCAGACTTGCTTGGTCGGGTAGTCATGTATTACAGATACAACAAGGCTACCTTGATGACGCAGGAAGACTGAACACTTCAAGGAAATATGCAAATTCATACAGTTTAAATTGACTCTCATTGTGGAGGAATACATTTCTGTCTGCCAAGTGACTTGGAGACATTGGTACATATCACGCAAAGTAAAATGGAAGGTGTTTTGTCATTGGGTATTTGATTGTTTTGTAAAATTAAAAGATTAATCGAACCTCAGGAACTCTTTGAAGATGTCTGCAGCAATGTCAGGAATGGTTACCTCCCCTTTCTCCGCCAGGGGGCCACAGAACATTGCATGGAAGACACAGCTGCGACTGACAAGAACGTAGCGGTGAGCTCGGACCACCTGTTTCTCTGACCCCAATAAGAAAGTGACGTCACAGAAGTCTTCCGTGTCGAGCATGCGCAGATTACACTCTGTGACAGTCTTCCCTGACTGCCAGTTGTCCACATATCCAGATTCTCGGCTCTCACAGGACATTGCGAAACTTGGAACTGACAATACAGGAATATACAGACATAAGCCGTGAGTAGATGATTTAAACCTTAAATATACATAACCATTCCATTATAAGATATTAACTGCATGAGTATTAAAATTCACTTCTTTTAAATCAAAACCTACAGAATCAGCTACACTTTGCATGGTGTTTTCAGGAGTCTATTCACATAATGTTCATCACTGTTTTGCCCTTTGCAAATGCACTTATAAATCACTTTTGAGCATTGCCAGACAACAATTGTTTATATATATATATATATATATATATATATATATATATATATATATATATATATATATATATATATACGCCTATCTGAAAATGAGCAATAAATGCAAATTGAGGTAGTTTCTTCGTAGGTCAGATATCAGTTTCTGATACCTTATGTTGGATGAAATCTACAACTATCCAGTAAAGTGTCAAACATCACTATCTTAGTCTATACAATTATATTTCACGCAACTTTGCAACCCTATTAAAAATGCATACCCAAAGACGACTTTTGACACACTTTTAAACATTAAAATGTACAAACCTCAAGTGTCTTACATACAAAGTGAATCAGATGCCTGTAGTGCAGATGGTGAGGATGAATATCAAAAGGACACAACTCTGTAAAGATAATGGACATCGTTAACCTCGAGTATCGTTTTGTTCAGCCAGTCACACAACCAACCAACAACCCCCCCCCCCCCCCCCCCCCCCCCCTCCAACAAACAAACAAACAAACAAACAATAACAAAAAAACCCACATGTACACAACTAGAACCATAACCGTCAAATTGGCAAGTTAAGGTGTTTGTGCACAGTGCCGGTCACCTATAATTGTTTTTCTTACCCTCGATGAAGATGCCCTTGCAAGCGTGAGGGTCGACATCTGGATATATGTTCAGATGAAACCAACAACTGTCCAGTTACCCATACTCAAGTGTCATACTTCACTATTTCAATCGAACAAAATCACATTTCCGCCCTTTAACAGTCAACCTTATTCAGTGTTTAAAGCACAAATATGCGAGACAACGACCAAGCCACTAACCATAAATGTTTACAACTCAAGTCACAATGAACGTATGAAGACAGGTGCATGTTTTGACTTGCACAAGATGATCAAAGGGACACAACTCTTGAGTCTAACACAAACTCCTTGTAACGATTTACTCTGTGGATTCCACACATGGTTTACTTCCACTTCAATATGGCTTCAGTCACAAACAGTCACACGCGTAATCACGGGACAGTCGGCAGCTGTGTTAAGTATCACCTGATCTATGTGATACTGACTGACTGACAAATGACTGTTACAATATCTGCAGTTGTATATCTAACAGGGTGTGGCTGTGTTGTCAACAACTGAGTGTACAGTACTAAATCTGGTAAATACCGCAACACATTCTACACCAGAAAAACCATTGTTCAGTACAGTTGTGTGAACAGTTTACCCCTTACCTGAGTTGGTGCCGATGATTTGAACACAGGGCGCGAGAGAGTGTCCTTCACCTGTCTGACAACTGTAATCCTTGTTTCGTTTTGACAAGACTTCCGCTTTCCAGGTGTATATTTTATGTGCGCTTCAGTTCATATCAAACGGAGGACAACTCCGTCAATCAATGGATCATTTTTTTACAGTTCTAGACGAGGTGAAATGGGGTTCAACGTTGTGTTCAAGATTTTTGTACTTACATGTAAGTGCATGTGTGTGTGTGTGTGTGTGTGTGTGTGTGTGTGTGTGTGTGTGTGTGTGCCCGCGCGTTCGCACGCGCTCGACAGCAAGGAAAACAAGAAGTACCCAAATTGACGTATTTTCGTATAACGTGCATAGGTTTCACTTGCACAAATAAATTACGATTTAGGGATGAATATTACCAGTCAATTTGGGGAGAAATCAGCCCGAGTCGCTTCCACACTCATTAAAATCAGATCCTAGTGCTCGCTACCGCTGCACAAAGATCTCAGGACATCCAATTGCAGGTCACATAAGAATGAACTTAAGCGAATTAGGACTGACCAATGAAATTACTCACAAGAAGTTGTCATCAGCCAGTCAGAAAGCAGCTCACAAGCGCTTTACGGCACTAGTTTCAAACTGGCGACTTCCTTTTCAGTCTCGCTTTGAAAAATATCGAATCAAAATTTGAACACTAAACTAAAGAAACTGGAAGGTCGAGAAGGAAGGTGCAAGACAGTGTGGAAAGTCTTCTGTTTTAAATGTTTAACCCATTGAAGCGAGAGATGGGTGATGATTTTGACGGAATCAGTCGTACGAACGTAACTGTCGTTCAGAATATCAAGTGTTAACATTTCTAATGATGCACGATTAGAAATTACCTTCCATGTATCACTTGGCCGATCTAGTAAGCGACGCTCCGATTGGTCGCGTGAAAGGTCATTCTGACATAACCAAAAAGTGGGCTGACATCACATATTTGTTTAGCGGTAGTAAGACCAAAGATCCAATGTTAATGAGATTATCCCGCTTCCCACTTCGCTAACGGAAGAGAGTTGGACGTCTCGAACTTATGGTCAAGAACAAGTCATCTGTGTATCTGCATTATGTTTATAAACATCTTTCCTACTTGTTTCAGAGCCTGATCTCTCTACGAAACGATCACTTCATCGAGAAGATGACTCAAGACAAGAACGGGGTCGTCATGCACTGGGACGTGGACACCTACAGAGATGGAGACTTCGTCATTACAGTAAGTCAGCTCAGCCTTTCATCCTTCGTCAAAACATCACTGGTTTGTAGGCACTACGCTCCTCCCTTACCAGAGAATACATACGAACGCTTTTTGGGATGTAGTTGCTATTATAAACCAACCAATCAAGACACGGCCTGGTTCTAGCGAGAGGGAAACCATGACCAATCAGAGCTCAGTGATGACAGCACAAACGGCACTATTTTCCGTGCAACATGTTAAAGTTGTCTTACGGCCATGTACTCAACACGTTGCTTCAGTAGGGCTTATTTCACTTCCATGCGATACCACGGCCTCATTTAATGAGTTGACGTAAACCACACACATCACTACTGCATCGCCCCCAATCGGTCGTGTGAATTCACCCCTAGTAGGGGAATGTTGAGTCTTAACAACCCATGAGGTATTGACTGAAATGAATATTTTCATTGGTCTATTATCATAATGAAATCTTATTGTTTTTAAATATGTTTGACATACCTACATACATTTGAAATTGAAATTCTCGGACTTATCTGAACACCTTGTCCCCAAGGGAGAGGTATGAATACGATGGGTGGTTCCCATGGTTAACTACCCCTGGGGATTCCGGTAAAGAATATACGTCCCCGGCAACATACAGTAAGCTTGTCGTCCGAGGCGAATAAATGGATTGCGTGGTCAGGCTCGGTGACTTGGCTGATTGCATGTCATTGTATCCCATTTACGTGGATCGATGCTCATGATGTCAATCACGAGATTGTCTGGTCCAGACTCAAACAAACAAACATGTTTAACTTCAGGGTTGGAGTGGGATCCGATTCCTTAAATCCGCTATTGTGTGTGTTGGAAATCGCGTTCGTAAGATGACCTTTCTGTTTAATAAATACTATTCAGTGTTCTTCATAATTTCACTAATTACACTCATTTCTTATACAGTAACGCTCAATTAATTCGATATATCTTTCCTTATCGTTTGAGATGATTTGTCATAAAATAGTAGCGTTGTCAAAGCTCTAAAGCAATCTGATAATATACAGATGTTGTTCCCAATCAGAATTACGTCTATTGAGGGGGCATGGGTGGGCCAGTCGTCTAAGGCGCCGCGATTTGCAGTGCAGAGTGCGTTCCTTAAGCACGCCAGAAACCTATGATTGTGGGTTCGAATCTCGGTTCGCCCCGATTATGTATCTAGGTTTTTCAGCACCATACCCGTGCTCGTAGGTTTCACCGAAGTAGAAAACGTATGAGGCCCGCATCATTTCAGGCTTTCCTCCAACATGAAGCTGACACGCCGTGATATAACTGGAATACTGTTAAAAGCAGCATCAACGCCAACTCACTCACTACTTCTATTGAGCTCCATGCATCAATATAATGCCAACTTGTTCAAGAACTTATTACCTAATGTTCGCAACACTATTTAATAAAGCCACTGTTTTGAGAACTTAGCTAGCTCAAGAATTGTTTTTACTCAACTAAATATTTAAACAAGGTATTTGTTATTCCGGTTCAGCAGTGTTGCAAAATGATGCCTTATATATTCCATGGGAACCCCAGACTTCGAGATTACTTGTGAATGAGCTCTACGCGGCAAACCAAGCGTCATAATCAAGGGGAGTCGAGCCCACGATCATAAGGTTCGGCACGTCAAGGGACAAAACCCTGCACAGCGAATCGTGTTGACTCAGACGACTTGGCCTTACTCTGTGCTTGTTTCTGTTCCCAGGCTCAGACCAAGGATGGCGCGACGCAGACACAGAGACTGAGAAAACGCTGACTTCCTCTTCAGTCACGTGCCAGCTTCATACCTGATGAACTACCTCTTCACCTGCCTCACACTTTTCAAGTCAATGCTATTATACTTATAGTCATGTTCGCTCTGTTTCGTGTGTACTGACTGACTGTGTAAGTACGTTATTGACGTGTTATGTGTTATAGTCAGACCCAGGCATATAGTGCCCCTACAGGCAGCTTGCCTTCATATGAATCCTAACACTGTCGCCGTCACTGCTACTGCTTCTGCAACTACTACAGCTACTGCTACTGTTCTGTTCACTACTACTGCTACTGCTACTACCAGTGCTCTGTGCTGCTGCTACTGCTACTATCAATACCAAATACTGCTACTACTACACCTACTGCTACTTATTGTACTGCCTGCTTCTACTGCTACTGTCAATACCAATACTGCTACTGCTACTACAACTACTCCGTCGTGATATTGCTGAACTATTGCTAAAAGCGGCGTAAAACCATACTCACTCACTACTCCTACTGCCATGACCGAGCAGTCGAGCTGATGTCTACTACTACAGATATTTTATTCCAAAAGTGTGATGTAAATCATATATCGTGTGACGCTTCATTAAACATTTCAATCTCTATTTTTTTCCAGCGCTTCTCGTTTTGTATCCATCCTATATTTACACGGGCTATATGTTACACTTCTAACAGCTTTTATTAGGACGTGGTTGAATTGTCCTCTGCCTTTCACCTTGTAGGTCTGGATGAAATTGTCAATTGTACCTGACAGAAACAACAAAAACAAAAATGAAACGTGTGGAGATTTTAATGCCCGCAGCACATGTCCGCGAGTTTGGTGAAACCCATGAGAACGAGTATGGTGCTTAAACGCCTAATCAGGTTGAATATGAGATTCGAATTGACAATCATAGGTTTCCGGTTAGCCTAAGGGACGCAACTCTGCACAGGAAACTGCAGCGACGACACGGCATGGCGTGACCCCTGAAATTCTTAAAAAACAAACGTTGTTTGTTGCCAGCTATGTAAATAATGAACCATAAAAAGCCACCACCAAAACTCAACGAGTTCTCCACAAATGTCGGATCTAGGAGCGATGGGATAGCCTAGTGGTTAAGGAGTTCACTAGTCATGCCTTAAACCTGGGTTCGATGCCCAACATTGGTGCCTTTATATGGCTGGAATATTGCTAAAAGCAGCGTCAAACCATACTCCCTCACTCAAAGGAAAGGAAAGATCTGAGTTATAGGGATCGGGTGGTTTCCATGTGTGACCTGGCTGATAGTTTGGCATCCTACTCCTAACGGGTAGATCGTTGTTTTTAACCTCTTGTATGTCTTTCTAAGATTCAATTATTTACAGGCAGTGATAAAACTGGAATAGAGTCGGCTGGTCAAACAACATACATCCGCTCCCGCAATCATTTCCTGCAGTGATGCATTGGGATACGAAGACATGAAACAACCACGTCAGCGAGTCTGAATACCCGATCCCGTTAGTCGCCACAGATAGTCATTCAAGAAATGGCAGGGGACACTGATAAATGTGTCTCTATTCTCTCTACAAAGATAGAATGTTTTTGTTCACGTCATTTGGGTTGTATACTACATGACTGATATAAAACTATCACTCAGGTTTATTGAGAAATAAAGATAATGTTTCAACTAAAACACCCTAGCTGACCAATAACGTGACATCTATTTACACACAGCAAAACAAGTGAAGCTGTGGGCGCCGTGTGCATTTGTAACAACCGACGACACTTCTTCACTTCTTGTTTTGCTGCGTGTCACGTCCACACTCCCGTCACATAGCAACCATGTGACGCATTCACTCAATACCCCGATACGACACGAGCTATATCAATGTCAACTTGTGACGATATGAACTCCCATTGAAAAAACAACGTGAACACTAAATGAAAAGATTACATGAACACTAAATGAAAAGACTACGTGAACGCTAAATGAAAAGACTACATGAACACTAAATGAAAAGATAACATGAACACTAAATGAAAAGACTACATGAACACTAAATGAAAAGACTATGTGAACACTAAATGAAAAGACTGCATGAACACTAAATGAAAAGACTACATGAACACTAAATGAAAAGACTACGTGAACACTAAATGAAAAGACTATGTGAACACTGAATGTAGAGACTACATGAACACTAAATGAAAAGACTACACGAACACTAAATGAAAAGACTACGTGAACACTAAATGAAAAGACTGCATGAACACTAAATGAAAAGACTACGTGAACACTGAATGTAGAGATTACATGAACACTAAATGAAAAGACTACATGAACACTTAATGAAAAGACTACGTGAACACTAAATGAAAAGATTACATGAACGCTAAATGAAAAGACTACGTGAACACTAAATGAAAAGACTACACGAACACCAAATGAATAGACTACATGAACTCTTAATGGAAAGACTATGTGAACAAAAAATGAAAAGACTAAGTGAACACTAAATGAAAAGTCTACATGCACACTAAATGAAAAGACTACGTGAACACTAAATGAAAAGGCTACGTGTACACTAAATGAAAAGACTACATGAACACTAAATGAAAAGACTATGTGAACACTAAATGAAAAGGCTACGTGAACACTAAATGAAAAGACTACATGAACACTAAATGAAAAGACTACGTGAACACTAAATGAAAAGATTACGGGAACACTGAATGTAGAGACAACATGAACACTAAATGAAAAGACTACATGAACGCTAAATGAAAAGACTACGTGAACACTAAATGAAAAGACTACACGAACACAAAATGAATAGACTACATGAACTCTTAATGAAAAGACTACGTGAACACAAAATGAAAAGACTAAGTGAACACTAAATGAAAAGTCTACATGAACACTAAATGAAAAGACTACGTAAACACTAAATGAAAAGTCTACATAAACACAAAATGAAAAGACTAAGTGAACACTAAATGTAAAGTCGACATGAACGCTAAATGTAAAGTCTACATGAACACTAAATGAAAAGGCTACGTGAACACTAAATGAAGGTCTACATGAACACTAAATGAAAAGACTACAAAAACACTAAATGAAAAGACTATGTGAACACTAAATGAAAAGACTATGTGAACACTAAATGAAAAGACTACGTGAACACAAAATGAAAAGACTAAGTGAACACTAACTGAAAAGACTACGTGAACACTAAATGAAAAGACTACGTGAACACTAAATGAAAAGACTATGTGAACACTAAATGAAAAGGCTACGTGAACACTAAATGAAAAGACTACATGAACACTAAATGAAAAGACTACGTGAACACTAAGTGAAAAGACTCCGTGAACACTGAATGGAATCGAGATAAGATCACACTATGATATGATTATTAATCAAGAAATGAATCATGCTCAATTCGGTTCCGGATCCGCATATTTAGAGCCAACCGAAGTTGCTACGTTTTAGGCAACCCATTCTTTGCAAAACAGTACCTTCTGTATATGTTTGTTTTCCATTAGATCGAGAATACATTTAGGGGATTATGCTCACACAAATTGGCATCAAACACATTTGATTCAAGTCGCTACACCACCACTTGCCTTTACCCTAAGTCAACAATGGACGCTTTACTATATTTTCTAAAGGCCATGGTTACCATGTAACAAATGTTATATTTGGGATGACAATTTCTGAGTCCCATCCGGGATTCGAACCGACACTGCAAGAGTGAGGCACCTAATCGCCAGCACACAAAGTCAGCGATCTAACCCACTCAGCCACAGAGGCTTCCACAAAATGAAAATCCGACAACTGGTATTCTAGATCACGTACTTTGTCTACCCCTCTGACATGTGTAAATTGGCACAGCTTCCATGGCCGAAAGCTATGAACGCACAATGCAATTTAGAATGTTGTTAAAAGTAACAAGTGTTATATTTGGGATCACACTTTGTGAGTAAAGTACAGACTCTCGTACTCACTCTATCAGTGTGGGTTCGAATCCAGGACGGCGCTCAGAAAATGTACGAGAATCTGTACTTTACTCAGAAAGTGTTATTCCAAATATAACATTTGTTACATTTGACCACTTTCTAAATGGCATTGTGTGTTCATGGTTACCATACAAGCATAAACTTAGGGCCTATCTACTCTCAAATATTAAGAAGAGCTGTTTCGAATACTGGTAGTTTTTCCATGATAAGAATATCGTATGGGCTGGTCCTCTTTAGATACTAAATTATGTATGTGTTTTTAAAAGGGCATCTTGTAGCGTTTGTAAATGATGGTCAAATACTCATTTCCGAAGGTATGAGTAGTTTTCTCAAGTCAATTAAAATCAATTAACGTCTCCTTTTTTTATCATGTCTCTTTACTTTTTTTATTGACCTTATTCATTAAAGACGTTATATCTAACGAAAATATATATTAAAAAGATGAGGGACGGCACAATAAATCTGGACGATGTATTAACAACAACAACCAATGCTAAGCCACCATACCCTCTGCGCAGAGACGCCAACCTGGTTAGACATGGTTATTAACAATAATAACAATAATATCCGCAGTTTTTATTGAGATTTATTGAATAACACATGAATGTAGTTCGCTTGCGTAGTGACAGAAAGTATGTTTCTAGCGCAGGTGATTCAAATAATATGTTCAGGTTACACAAACAGAATTACAGGTGCAATGTCCCATACTTAATGTCACTATTGATGTAGTAATCACAATAATGGGTTGCTGGCTTTCTATCACCATGGTCCCTCCTTTTTATGTGAGCTGTAGGTAAAATCAATAATTTAAAGGTGCAATATCAAAAAGAAAGTTCTATAATCTGATAATTTTCTGCATATCTGGATTGGGACATAGTTCAGCAAGGCATTGAATTCATATATTGCAAAAGAAAGTTCTATAATATGATAATTTTCTGCATATGTGGATTGGTACAAAGTTCAGCAAGGCATTGACTTCATATATTGCCAAATATTTTATCAACGCCACGAACAATGACGACAGATTGTTTGATTTGTTTTGTGTGCGTGTGTGCGTGCATGCATGCGTGTGTGTATACACTGATCAATGGAGAAGAAAACAAATCCGTTACAGTTGAGTGAGTGAGTGAGTATGGTTTTACGCCGCTTTTAGCAATATTCCAGCAATATCACGGTGGGGGACACCAGAAATGGGCTTCACACATTGTACCCATGTCAGGATTTGAACCCGGGTCTTCGGCGTGACGAGCGAACGCTTTAACCACTAGGCTACCCGACCGCCCCCCGTTACAGTTGAAGTTGTAAAGGTCCTAGATTGGAGACAACAAATTACAGACTGCCGTAGCTACCCTGCCCTGCCTGACTAATTCCCAATATGTTTTTGGCTAAAATTATATTTATTTGAATAGACGAACCTGTGTTAGTAGAGAACCGAGTATAGGCCATTTTTGGACTTAATGTTAAGATTGACTTATGTTCTCGCTAACTTAACTGTATTTAGTAAATGAAATATTATGATTAAAATGAAATTTGGAAGTGTATCTGGTGTTGTTAGTCTATATATTAAGAATGACTGATGGCGGCGAAACACAACCCAACAAGGTATTTGTTTCTGTAGGCAGGGGCTAATCACTGTACACAGCTTGGAGCAACATCTCTGTACATTCATAACAGTAACGCTTACACATGCACGCGTCACTTGATGTAAGAAGATGTGTTAAGCTGCAATCGAAACATTAAAACACTTCAGTGTGTAGTACAATATTTGATTATTTGATATGTAAATCGCATTATTTCACAGGCAGTCAGTCATTCTAAGTCAACGGCTAAGAGAAACTTAAATCGACTACTTCCTTGGCATGCGTAGTTCATGCAATCAACCATTGTCTATATTATGGGCCTATGGCCTTCTTACTGAATAAACTGTCTGTCTGTTTGAAACGGAAATGATGTAACATGTGAACGTAACATACAATGCACAAGTTGTCAGTGTTGTTTAAAAGTACATCCAATTGAAATTTCAATAAAGTATTCACATCAAATCCTGTACAAACGCACATAGGATGTCAGCTGAATGTTGCGGTCATTATCTCATCCCATGGGTGAGTGGATGTATTGACAGTATCACCATGAATTCACACACTTCATCTCTTTTGGGATGCTGAATATCAAGCCAGGTATGTTTCCTGTCTCTGGTGATGTTCCTGCAGTGTCCAGTAGGGAGTGTGAGAATGTGAACTGTACTCCATTACTGGTAACAGTCTTCTTTCCAAAAACCCCGCTGTAATAGGTCCCGGAAGTTAGGTCCACACACACAGTGTAGGTTGTGCTTGGCTGCAGTAGTACAGACTCGGGAAATAGGACATCAGTCATCTCTTGGTTCCTGTGAAGAGACTTCAAAGTGTTCCTTAAGGGTGCAGCAACCACTGTGTTATTTTGGTCATACACCCATATACTCAGTAGGATGTCTTCATTAATCTCTTCACGGAAGAGCTGACATCCTTTCAGGTGAATGCTGTGAGTGACAGAAAACGAGATAGCATGCCTGCTGCCTTGAAAATAACAATGGCACTCTGTTATGTTTGGAAATCTGCTTACATGTTTGCAAATATTGGACTCTTGTATCTGAGCAACGCCTGATTTCATTCTCTGTACAGTTGTAAATGGAGAAATATCAACAGTCGAGTCAACAGATCTGTCAATTATCTGAACTCTCTCACTGTTTGTCAGCACACCAGATCGGCCAACAACTTTCACCAGGAACTCCAGGGGGATGCTGGTAAACCGGATCTCATACCTCATATCTCCTAGGAGTCTCCGTCTGTTTTCTGGCGTGTCACTCACACCTTCCTTCCTGCACCGCTCCTTTGTCCACGACACGACTGCTTCAAATATGTCGGACTCTTTCAGGTTCAGAGTGTTTGATTTAAGGAACTTTTCCAGACAGTCAGGACAAAGACCTACAAATCCTGGAGATTTGATGACACTCTCCCCTCCTTCAGTCAGGATCTTCAGGGCCTTCTGTTCCAGGTCTAGCTCCCCGTAACCATGACACTGCTCCAGGATCTGGCAGGCATTATCTTCTGACAGGGACGTCTCCAGGAACGTTACACACAGATCGTACAATGCATCTAGAGAATACTTCCTGGAGGTGTACATCAGTCCTGTGACTGTTTCAGTGTTGATAGTAGTCTTGTCTGTGTACACATACCTACAACAGTGTGTAGGAATACAATGTTACGATTAATTAAAACCAAGGTTTCAACTTAATTCAAATCCAAATAGCACAATCAGGTTAGGTTGTCTTTTACATTTGTCACTTGTTCAGACATTTCAGTGATCCATTTACAACATTTTCATCGGCACTTTTACACCCAATGGAATCTGTTTCATGGGATAATTCATACTGGTTATTCTGTAGTGAGGACGTTTATAGTAACCTTTATATGTTAACCTACATGATATTCTTACTTCTTAGTCATGTATCACAGATACAACTAGGCTACCTTGATGAAGCAGGATGACTGAACACTTCAAGGAAATATTAAATTGACCCTCATTGTGGAGGAATACATTTCTGTCTGCCAAGTGACTTCGAGACATTGGTATATATCACGCAAAGAAAAATGGAAGGTGTTTTGTCATTGGGTATTTGATTGTTTTGTAAAATTAAAAGATTAATCGAACCTCAGGAACTCTTTGAAGATGTCTGCCGCAATGTCAGGAATGGTTACCTCCCCTTTCTCCGCCAGGGGGCCACAGAACATTGCATGGAAGACACAGCTGCGACTGACAAGAACGTAGCGGTGAGCTCGGACCACCTGTTTCTCTGACCCCAACAGGAAAGTGACGTCACAGAAGTCTTCCGTGTCGAGCATACGCAGATTACACTCTGTGACAGTCTTCCCTGACTGCCAGTTGTCCACATATCCAGATTCTCGGCTCTCACAGGACATTGCGAAACTTGGAACTGACAATACAGGAATATACAGACAAAAGCCGTGAGTAGATGATTTAAACTTTAAATATACATAACCATTCCATTATTCGATAATAACTGCATGAGTATTAAAATTCACTTGTTTTACATCAAAACCTACAGAAACAGCTACACTTTGCATGGTGTTTTCAGGAGTCCATTCAAATAATGTTAATCACTGATTTGCCCTTTGCAAAGGCACTTATAAATCACTTTTGAACAACAATGGTTTAATTGCAAACAAACACCTTGGTTCTATATATAACTTATATATCATATATATATATACATGTATATATATATGTATGTATGTATGTATGTATGTATGTATGTATGTATGTATGTATGTGAAAATCGCCTATCTGAAAATGAGCGATAAATGCAAATTGTGGTAGTTTCTTCGTAGGTCAGATATCAGTTTCTCATACCTTATGTTGGATGGAATCTACAACTATCCAGTAACGTGTCAAACTTCACTTTCTTAGTCTATACAATTATATTTCACGCAACTTTGCAGTCAACCCTATTAAAAAAAGCATACCCAAAGACGACTTCTGACACACTTTTAAACATTAAAATGTACAAACCTCAAGTGTCTAACATATAAAGTGAATCAGATGCCTGAAGTGCAGATGGTGAGCATGAATATCAAAGGGACACAACTCTGTAATCATCGTTTACTTCGGGTATCTTTTGGCACAAGATGATCAAAGGGACACAACTCTAGAGTCTAACACAAACTCCTTGTAACGATTTACTCTGTGGAATCCACACATGGTTTACTTCCACTTCAATATGGCTTCAGTCACAAACAGTCACACGCGTAATCACGGGACAGTCGGCAGCTGTGTTAAGTATCACCTGATCTATGTGATACTGACTGACTGACAAATGACTGTTACAATATCTGCAGTTGTATATCTAACAGGGTGTGGCTGTGTTGTCAACAACTGAGTGTAAACTACTAAATCTGGTAAATACTGCTACACATACAACCATTGTTCAGTACAGTTGTGTGAACAGTTTACCCCTTACCTGAGTTGGTGCCGATGGTTTGAACACAGCGAGCGAGAGAGCGTCCTTCACCTGTCAGACAACTGTAATCCTTGTTTCGTTTTGACAAGACTTCCGCTATTCAGGTGTATATTTTATGTGCGCTTCGGTTCATATTAAACGGAACTTCGTCAATCACTAGGTCATTTTTTACAGTTCAAGACGAGGTGAAATGGGGTTCAACGTTGCGTTCAAGATTTTTGTACTTACATGTAAGTGCATGTGTGTATGTGTGTGTGTGTGTGGGGGGGGGTCTGTGTGTGTGTGTGTGTGTGTGTGTGTGTGTGTGTGTGTGTGTGTGTGTGTGTGTGTGTGTGTGTGTGTGTGTGTGTGTGTGTGTGTGTGTGTGTGTGTGTGTGTGATTAGAAATCACCTTCCAAGAATCACTTGGCCGATCTGGTAAGCGACTTTCTGATTGGTCGCGTGAAAGGTCATTCTGACATAACCAAAAAGTGGGCTGACATCACATATTTCGTTTAGCGGTAGTGAGACCAAAGATCCAAGGTTAATGAGATTGTCCCGCTTCCCACTTCGCTAACGGAAGAGAGTTGGGTGTCGTGCCGGGTTAGCGAAAATCCAATTTTCCCTAGTTTCAGTAAAGCGAAAACCCAAGTTGGGGTATTTGTCCCACGAAAGCGAGAAAACAGTAATGGCTATAAAAACACCGGATTACTGTAGTTTAGATTAGCGCCCGTGCTGTTCAAACAGAGGAGAGGAGAGGAGAGGAGAGGACAGGAGAGGAGAGGAGAGGAGAGTCGTTTCTTAAGAATACATACAGTATGTATTTGATGGTATATATAAAGATTGCAACTTATTTATCTATGTTTAGGACTTTGGTTTAAAAGAGAAAAAATAAATTACAACAATATTAAAAAAGCCAACAAAGGATACCAGATAATCTTCCCTAACCGAGAATCTTAGAACGCAGCAAATAAAATAACTCAAATATTCCACGTCACGGTAATCAAACAAACACCTAATTGGCAACAATATACACGAGGCGTAATTAGGGTTAACCCAAGGGAAACAATTGAGGACTTACAATTATTCTCTCTAGAAGCTAACATAAACCAAGACCAAAACCCTCAACCCCTAATCACTAGCACGCGTAGAATAACCTCAACTAGAAACGGAAAAACGGTCCCAACCTCCATTGTCATAATCAACTTCAAAAAGACAGCTAAATTCCCTGAAGCCCCCAAACACATATGTGAAGTATAGAAGTCAAACCCTATATAAAGCAGGTTAAGCAATGTTCAAAGTGCCTCAAATACAACCACACTGCCTCCCAATGCACATACCGTAAAACTAAATGTAAAAAATGCGCACAAACAGACTGCCCAGGCACATGCACACCCTGGTGCATCCACTGCAAATCTACCCAACACACTTCACTTTCAAACCAATGCCCAAACAGACACACACTCACCCAGCAGGCCAACAAACACATACACATAGACACGGCTTAAATCCAAACACGAAAATTTGCTACACCTGCATCTAAACCACTCCTCCCTACACCACACCCAAACACCATCCCACAAACAAACACCACACTAATAACCGACAGCTCTGTCTGGGGCCCCTACCGAGAAACCGCACCCACCTCACACACACAAGCAGCCATTCAACCAACCACGAACCCTCCCACATCTCACATAGCCAAAACATCAACCCCCGCATGCAAAACAAACCTCAAAATGACCACCACAACACGACCCTCATCCAAGCACCCTACAGCCCATATGGCAACAACACTCTCCCATAAGCAAGCACAACAACAAATATTGAGCACCTTTGTGCAGCAGATGAAGTGTTTGGTGACGGCACCTTCTCCTCGGCTCCACGACTGTTTGAGCAGATCTACACATTGCATGCTGAATTCTAAGGCCACATGTTCCCGCTTGTGTACTGTCTGCTCCCGAACAAGTCCGAAAATACGTACACCAGGACATTTGAACATTTACGTCTAATGGCTCAACAGCAGAATTGTTACTTCAATCCAAGAACTTTCCAGTTAGACTTTGAAATCGAGGCCCACAATGCCGTACGGAGTGCCTTTCCAAACACTTTGATCAGGGGCTGTTATTTTCACTTCACCCAGTGCATTTGGCGTCGAGTACAGAAGGAAGGTCTGGCTACGGACTACAAGAACAATGATGAAGTGCGACGACTGGTGAGAAGAGCTGCAGCCTTGCCTCTGCTTCCCTTGGACAAGTCGACGACATCTGGCTCCAAGCCATCGCTGACAGTCCCGCGGGTCGCAGGGTCGCAGCCTTCATGGACTACGTCACGACAACGTGGGTGGCAGGATGCCAATTCGTTGAGTACACAGATCACGTTGGTGACCTGATCCACTTGGAGTGAATGACAAATTTATTATAGAATGTATTTATGTATTAACCATATTTTAAGATATAAGTAATTGTTGTTTTTGTAGAAAGTATAATGTACATCTATGAAATATTAAAGTATTAGAGTTATTAAATTTGTTAAATGTAAAGTACTTTTGTGCAACTATACTATACTTCAGCATCTAATAAATTACTACTGTAAATACGGTATACGCATTTCTGTGTTTTTCTTGTAATTTGAGAGTCCTGGTACAGCAATATCCCGTGTTTACTGTAGCGTGACCAGTCTTACTGTAGCTTCACGAAAGCGAAGAGATTTTAGAGTTGATTATGGCTAGGTTCCGCTCTTCCGGCCCATAACCGAGAGTTGGGCATCTCGCGCTTATGGTCAAGAACAATTCATCTGTGTATCTGCATTATGTTTATAAACATCTTTCCTACTTTCCTACTTGTTTCAGAGCCTCTACGAAACGAACTCTTCATCGAGAAGATGACTCAAGACAAGAACGGTGTCATCATGCACTTGGATAGAGATGGAGACTTCGTCATTACAATAAGTCATTTCATCCTTCGTCAAAACATCACTTGTTTGTATACACTGCGCTCCTCCCTTTACCGTGAATACATACGACCGCTTTTAGGGATGTAGTTGTTATTACAAACCGACCAATAAAGACACGACCTCCTTCCAGCAAGAGGGAAAGCATAACCAATGACCGCTCAGAGATGACAGAACAATATTTTCCGTGCAGCATGTAAAGTACTTATGGCCATGTACTCCACACATTGCTTCAGTAGGGCACATTTTACTCCATTGCTCCGTCCCCAAAGTTCCTCCACAAGCCCGTGAAGTATTGAGTGAAATGAATACTTACCTTGGTCTAGATCTAATATCATAATGAAATCTTTTGAACGTACCTACATACATGTGAAATTGAAATTCTCAGACTTTTCTGAATCTTTTGTCCCCAGGGAGAGGTATTAATACGGTGGGTGGTTCCCATGTTTAACTACCCCTGGGGATTCCGGTAAAGAATATACGTCCCCAGCAACATAAGCTTGTCGTCCGAGGCGAATAAATGGATTGCGTGGTCACGCTCGGTGACTTGGAATTGTATCCCATTTACGTGGATCGATGCTCATGGTGTCAATCACGAGATTGTCTGGTCCAGACTCAAACAAACAAACATGTTTAACTTCAGGGTTGGAGTGGGATCCGATTCCTTAAATCCGCTCTTGTGTATGTTGGATATCGCGTTCCTAAGATGACCTTTCTGTTTCATAAATACTATTCAGTATTCTTCATAATTTCACCAATTACACTCATTTCTTATACAGTAACGCTCCATTAATTCGATATATCTTTCCTTATCGTTTGAGATGATTTGTCATAAAATAGATAGCGTTGTCAAAGCTCTAAAGCAATCTGATAATATACAGATGTTGTTCCCAATCAGGATTACGTCTATTGAGGGGGCATGGGTGGCCCAGTCGTCTAAGGCGCCGCGATTCGCAGTGCAGAGTTGCGTTCCTTGGGCACTCCAGAAACCTATGATTGTGGGTTCGAATCTCGGTTCGCCCCGATTATGTATCTAGGTTTGTCAGCATCATACCCGTTCTCGTGGATGTCACCGAAGTGCTAAACGTCACAGACCTGCATCACTTCGGACTTTCCTCCAACATTGAGCTGACACGCCGTGATATAACTGTAATACTGTTAAAAGCAGTGTCAATCACAACTTCTATTGAGCTCCACGCATCAATGTAATGCCAACTTGTAAAGAACTTATTGCCTAATGTTCGCAACACTATTTAATAAAGCCACTATTTTGAGAACTTAGCTAGCTCAAGAATTGTTTTTACTCAACTAAATATTTAAACAAGGTATTTGTATATCCGGTTCAGCAGTGTTGCAAAATGATGCCTTATATGGTCCATGGGAGCCCCAGACTTCGAGATTACTTGTGAAAGACTTCTAAGCGGCAAACCAAGCGTCATTATGAAGGCGAGTCTGGGATTCGAACCCACGATCATAAGTTCGGCACGTCAAGGGACACAACCCTGCACAGCGAATTGCGGTGACTCAGACGACTTGGCCTTACTCTGTGCTTGTTTTTGTTCCCAGGCTCAGACCAAGGATGGCGCGACGGAGACACAGAGACTGAGAAAACGCTGACTTCCTCTTCAGTCACGTGCCAGCTTCATACCTGATGAACTACCTCTTCACCTGCCTCACACTTTTCAAGTCAATGTTGTTATACTTATAGTCATGTTCGCTCTGTTTCATGTGTACAGACTAAATGTGAAAGTACGTTATAGATGTGTTATAGTCAGACCCAGTCATATAGTACTCCTTCAGGCAACTTCCCTTCATACGAATCCTATCACTATCGCCGTCACTGCTACAGCTTCTGCTACTACTACAGCTACTGCTACTGTTCTGTTCACTACTACTGCTACTGCTACTACTAGTGCTCTCTGCTGCTACTACTATCAATACCAAATACTGCTACTACTACACCTACTGCTACTTATTGTACTGCCTGCTTCTACTGCTACTGTCAATACCAATACTGCTACTGCTACAACTACTGCTACTCCGCCGTGATATTGC